TATTTTTATTTGATGTTGGTGAGAAGATTATTTGTTTTCAATTGTATGCAACAAATATATGTATACTTGTTTACAAAATAATCAAAAAAATTAGCATAAAAAATTATATTTGAACAATTGGTTGGTTCCTTTAAAAAATTGTTTTAATTATTTTATTTCAAATAAAGTGGTTCTATAATGTTAAAAATATATATTCATAATAAATAATTTATATTATGTTGAAAGATGTATAGCTAATTTTTAATAAAATTAATGATTCAATAGTTTTTGATACGTGTTGACCACATCTAGTGAATTAAGATAAATTATTTGAAACACGCTTTTAACCTTATAAAATAAAAAAAATAGATATTTATATGTGCGCAACTCGTCATTTAAAAATTATAAAAATTCATGATATATATTATACTAATTTACTTTTAAAAAAAGAAAAAACAATCATGCTTTAAAATTTTATTCTACAATTCAAATATGAAGAAAAATAAATTATATTTATCAGTAAATAAAATCTTATATAAAATATTAATTGGATGAGAATTTTCATAAAAAATAAAAAATTCAAAGAATGAAATTTAAATAATAAGAGTAATATAAGCTAAATTGTATGTTAATTTTAAAAATATAAAAGATAGTGTGTGGCTATATATATATATATATATATATATATATAAGAGTAATACAAGCTAAATTATATGTTAATTTTAAAAATATAAAAGATAGTGTGTGGTTGTATATATATATGATACGTGAAAATGAAAGAAAAATAAAAACTAAGGATTTTAAAAAATGTTACAACATGACGGACAAAAAAAAAGTGTTAATTTTGCATATTAATGTCCAAAATCACACAAAAAAATTACTTAAATTAACATAAAGTGAATAGTAATTTAATGCATATGAATAGTAAGCGAATAAGAATTTTCGATATATGAATAGTTTCGATTCTCGTGCAACAACGCTACGTACTGAACTAAATACATTTATTTCAATTTGATAACATATATTATACTATCAGTTAATTAAAATATATTAAATTAAGTATAAAAGATAAATTTTGAAGTCAAAAAAATATGATTTGTTCTTTCTTATGCATTTATTCTTAAATAAAACCCATAATAAACAAATTTTAATATAAATTTTTAAAAACATCTTAATGTTTTTTCATTACATTTCATCGAAGAAATAAAGTCGTAATTAGTATAAAAACTTGTACGAAAATTAACAAATGAAACTTTTTTATCGATGAGAAGATTATTTTTTAAAACATATACATTTGATTTATATATATTTATTTACAAAATAATGAATAATATTAATATACAAAATTATATTTGAATTATTAGGTGGTTATTCTAAAATATTATTTCAATTATTTTATTTAAAAAATTATCTTAAATATTTAAAAAGTAATAGCGAATAGTTGGTTTTATGTGTATAAATGCATAGTTGATTTCTAATAAAATCAATAACTCTAACGTTATTATTTTCAATATATCATGATCGTACTCAATAGGTGAGAATGTATAAAATAAATTAAAAATATTTTAAAAATTAAATGGTGAAATATATATTGAAATTAATAGAGTGCAATAAAAACTATAAAACTGATTTCGATAAAATTTGATTATATAAAAAATAAGAAAATAAAATACATATATTCAATTTTTAAAATTTGATTGTATAAGAACTAAGAAAATAAAAATAGGTATTAAAAAAGCTTATTCAAATCCATACATAAATACAAAAGTCATATTTGTTAATAAATAAAAATATAAAAAAGTGAGAATAAAAATTAATTTGATGAGAATTTTTATCGAAAAAATCAACTTTAAACAATACAATTTCTTTATATTTATTCTAAAATCTAAAAACATATCTTATAAATATAAAAAATATCGTATATGTTACATAATCGTCGGTTTATATGGAAAAAAATAACGATTAATTTTTTAAAATTTTAACACCTAATAAAATAAAAAAAAGAACATAAATTGATGAAAAAAAGCAAAGGAAAAAAATACATGAGTAATGTTATATAATTGTTAGTTTGTATGAAAAAAGCCATGATTGATTGTTTAAAATTTTAACACGTAATTAAATAAAAAATATATAATTTGATGGAAAAAAGAAATAGAAAAAAGCAAAGGAAAAAAGAAACGAGTAGTGGATCGGTTAGGGGATTAAATATTTATTTTAAAATTTCAAAGACCAAAATGAAATAGCCTAAAAATTTAAAAATTATATATAAAATAAAAGATGAACCTAAATTGATGGAAAAAATCATGTATAGTAAAACAACTTGAAAAGAAAAAAAAGAAGAAAAATACATCGTAATAAAATCCAAAAACATATCGTATATATTATATAATCGTTAGGTTGTATGGAAAAAAGTTACGATTGATTTTTTTTTAAAATAACATAAATGAATGAAAAAACAAAGAAAAAAAGAGAAGAAAAAAAGCCATGAGTAGTGTATCGGTTAGGGGATTAAGATTTTAGAGACTAAGATGAAACAACTTGAAAATTAAAAAAAAAAACCTAACTTGATGGAAAAAAAAAGAAACAAAGGAGGAGAAAAAGAAAAGACATGCATTCACAACAACTTCAAAAAAAAAAAAGAAGAAGAAGATGAATAGTGGATGAAAAGAAAAAAGAACCTAACTTGATGGAAAAAAAAAAGGGGGAAAAAAGGAAAACAACAACTTGAAACTAAAAAAAAAAGTGGAAGTACTCGAGAAAAGAAGAAGAAGAGGTGAACATGGTTGTGAACAATCACAATCCCATGTCTTATATATATATGAGATAAACATGGTTGTAAATAGTCCGAACTCCATGTCTCCCTATATCTTTTAGGCATCTGTTTGGTAATAAGGAATATAGTGGTGGAAGGAGAATGAAAGTTTTATTCTTATGTTGTAGTTGTTTGGTTAAAAGGAATGAAGTGAGAATGAGAATAAAAATTTATGCACAACTTCATTGTCCTATAAGATGTAAGAATAAAAATAAAGAATGAGAATATTTTTTTTTCAAAATAATAATATATTTTATTTATTTATTATCTAATAACTATATTTACCATCACTACCACCATAATCGTCATCACAACCATCACAAAAAACCACCCCACTATCATAACCACCACCACCATTATCAACACTAGAACTATCACCGTCATAACCATCATCATCATCACTTTTATTATTTTTACAACCATTATAGTTTGATAAAATTATTTTTTTATCATTTTTTTTATTTGTATAAAAAACTAGATATTAAAAAATTTAAATTGCATTTCGATTTTTCATCGGTATTCCAAATATAGTATAGGAATATAAATATCATTTTGATTCCTTAATTTTCATTTCGATTCCCGTATTTTCATTCCCACTACTCGATTCTTGATTATCAAACAATACTTTAGAGTCTTAGGTTGTGTTTGTTTGGAGGAAGGAACTTGTTTTCCTTATTTTTCCGTGTTTGTTTTGCATTTAGGAAAAAAGTCAACGGAAAATGATTTCTAGTCAACATAAAATATTAGAGTATTTTTGAAAAAATGCTTTCCCAGTTTCAAAAGAGGAAAACATTTTCCTTCTCACGAGTCGTCGCTTTTGCGTTACTTACCTATCTCTCGATATATTTTAATAATTTTTTTCTCTATCTTCTTTTTTATTTAAAATATATCAAATTAATTTTTAATTATTCTTTATCAATTATTATTTAATTATTTTTTTCTCTATTTTTACTAATATTTGAATTTTTTTGATTTATAGATACATTAAATATTCTTAAAAACCCCTTTTACACCTTAAAATTATTTTTATAATAAATATTTTAATAATTTATCTCTATTTTTTTACTATTATCTCAAACACCACCTAAGCTATACTTAAATGATTGGAAATGTATATTGCAAGATTATAATTTTTTTTGTAAAAAAGATTAAAATTAATTAATTCATCAATAAATACATTATTTTTTCAACACTATTCATTTGCAATTGAATCAATAATTTGTAATTTTAATCAATTGTAAAATTTTGTTGGTACTTGTAGTAAATAATTAGTTACAAATTATTCAAACATTAATCTTTTGAGATCAAATGAATAATTATCTATAAATTATAACTAATAATTTATAAAACTATTTTCAAATTAAATTATCAGTTAAATTTTTTTTAAAAGATTTATTAATTGAGTTATCAAAATAACAATGTTAGAATTACTTAGAATTTTTTTTTACTAAATGTGAATATTGATTTGATTTTGTGCTAAGTAATTTTGATGAATTGGTTTGATGGTTAAAAAAGTACATTTTATTTTTTGAATTAAAATTTTAAAGTTAGTATTTATGAAAATTTATTAAATTTTTGTAAATGTATCTTATATTGTGAAATTATGAATATATCTTTTGAAGTTTTCTAAAAAACTTGATGATATAACAATCACATATGTTTTTTTATTTTAATTTTTTATATCAAATAAATATTAGAATATATTTTTTAATAATTTTTTTATTTAATTATCAAATGGTAGAAAAATATGTTTTTCTTATAGCTTTCTGAAAAATAATTTCTTTATGAATTGATTTTACTATGTCCCCCCAACCCCCCAGCGGGGGAACAAACTCAGCTATAAGAAATATTTTTTTCCTCTGTTAACACAAATGGTCACGAATCCTGGACGCAGCGATCAGAAAGCGCAAAAAAGAGAGAGAGAAATAAAAGGGAGACCCCTGCCCTGCCCCTCTCCCACTTCCTTTCTGTGAGCTCAGCTTACAGACACGACGCGTTGTTATAACGTCCATATTTCTCTCCCTCTCAAAAAGAAGGAAAAAAAAATAATAATAACAAAAACTCTTATCTTCCGCTCTCTCTGTATCCGTGTGAGATTATATCTCTCTCCACTTCAAGAGAAATCGATGCCTTAAACAAGATCCATTCAGTAGTTACTACTAAATTAAGTTTAATAAGAGGATTAGTGGTAGTTAGGTTTTTATTAAAAATGGCCTCCACGTCACAGTCTCTCCGTTTTCTGGTCGGGCCTGCAACCACCGGACCTGGCGGTGGCAGTTTCGACGCTCTTAATCGCATACTTGCCGACCTCTGCACTCGCGGCAACCCTAAGGTATCACTAAATTTCTCTCTCTCTCGTTAATTTCAGTTATTGTGTAGGTTTTTGTATTAGTTACTAATTAAATTACTAGAAAAATTAGTAATCAAGAAAGGTGAAAGTGGAAACGTGAGTGTGTTGAGTTATGCAGTTTGCTGTTTTTTCTTGACTAAATTAATTTTCTGGTTTCGAATGGAGGAACGTGTTTCTTGTTAGGTTTTTATGTTTAATTAGTAATTTGTGATAGAGTTAATACTTGATAGAAATCAATAAAGAGAATTTTTAATTAGGTATTCGTATTTAATTAATAATTAGTCTTGGAGTGATTAGAAAGACTACAATAGGAAACGAGAGTGTTAGGTTTTTTTTTTTTTAATTGTCTGTTTTGTGGTTTTTTATTTTTTTTAAATTTTGTTTGGTTTTGCTGGTGAAATGTTCTTGCTGTTATGTAAAAGGAGGGGGCGACATTATCATTGAGAAAACATCTAGAGGAAGAAGCACGTGATCTAAGTGGAGAAGCATTTCCGCGCTTTATGGATCATTTATATGAAAGAATTTCTACTTTATTAGAAAGTAATGAGGTTGCTGAGAATTTGGGAGCATTAAGAGCAATTGAAGAGTTAATAGACATAGCGCTTGGAGAGAATGCATCCAAAGTGTCTAAGTTTGCTATTTATATGCGGAGTGTGTTTGAGATGAAGCGAGATCCTGATGTGTTGACACTTGCTAGCAGAGTTCTTGGCCATTTGGCCAGGGCTGGTGGAGCAATGATTGCGGATGAAGTGGAATTTCAGGTTGGTCATGCCTCATTTGGTTTGATTGTGTTGCTGTTTGTGTGGTATCTGATATTTTTGGTCTTGTTAGGTTAAAATGGTACTAGGCTGGCTTCGCAATGATAAAGCAGAATTTCGCCTTTTTGCTTCCGTCTTAATTTTAAAAGTAAGCGTGACTTACTTTTCCTTTCCTTTTCATTTGTTGCTGACAACTTAGTAGTTGCATGGTTGTTTGTTATTCTATGGATAATGTAGTTCTTTGTTCTCCTGATGATGTTGGAAAGACTGTTTCATACCATCTTAAAGACTTTTACTTTGTTTGACTTTTTCATTAATTTTTTTTTGAACATTTCTACATCCTAAGGACATCTTCTTGAATCTTGATTATGGTAGGAAGTGGCAGAAAATGCTTCTACAGTTTTCAATGTTCATGTACCTGAATTTGTCGACGCTATCTGGGTTGCACTGAGGCATCCAACATTGGCAATTAGAGAGAGGGCTGTGGAGGCACTGCGTGCTTGCCTTCGAGTTATTGAGAAGCGTGAGACACGTTGGCGTGTGCAGTGGTCAGTTATGGTATTTTGTGATATATTTTGATTTTACAGAATTATGTACATTTTGCATCCAGAAGTTGGTAGTTATGGTGGAGGAAAAGGTGCTCTCATCAAAGGACAAAACTTTGTCTTAACAGATTTTGTGGCTTTAGCGCCATATGGGTTTATTAAACTTATCCTAACAGATACTGCAAATTGGTTAGGGCTTTGAATGGTGCTTGTAATAGTAATTGAGGGGGTGTTTTCTAGCTTTAGGTTTCCAATGTTTGGCAGGTATGTTAAAGAAGTGGTAATGATAGTAAGAATAAGACGAAAGTAAATACCTAGAAGCTTGAAAAGTGCTCATTGGAATTTCACCTAGAATTATGTCGTTAGGATGTCAGCATTGGTTAATTAATTTACCTGATCGTCACATGACATGCTAATATAGGGGTAAAATCTCATTTTTTTCTGCCACTTGATTAGCATAAAGATTTGATTGGAACTTTCTAATTGATAGAGTCCTAATACAATTTGATCTTGGAGGCTTACCTCAATGTTTGAAATATTACTTTGATGACGTTTTGTTTTCTTTAATGCCTAATGAACCAACAAGGCAGGCGTTTGCTGTTTGGGTTTGTCTTGTAATAGGTCTTGCAAGGGGCACTAGGAACTAATTCTTACTGCACCTCCATCCCTTGTAGATAAGGGAGGATACTTGGTGGATAATTGTGATAAGTAAATATCTCATATTGCTTTTTCACTAGTTTGGTGAATCTGGCTGCACAATTGTAGACATGTCTTTCAAGCTGCATGTTTGAATGTATTAACATTTGCGTTACTTTCTACAAGCAATTTTTCATCAAGCTTATTGACTAAGCATTTCAATTTGGTTGGCCATTTGGTAGGTATTATCGTATGTTTGAGGCTACACAAGATGGATTGGGTAAAAATGCTCCTGTTCACAGCATACATGGTTCTTTACTTGCTGTTGGAGAGCTCTTAAGGTTGGTATAAATGGCTGAATTTCTTGTAGTGGAAATGTTTCTGACATGCACCTTTTGAATTTTCTAGCTTGAATGAATTGTTGCAAACTGATTGCTTGCATATTTTTCAGCTAACATCTTGCTGTAAGTTTTGTCTATAATGACTATTGCCCTATACTTTTATTTGGATTAAGTGTTGTAATGAGCTTAATAATCAACACCCCTTCGCATGCTATGTGACATTCACAGCTAGCCAATATAAGTTTATTCAACTGTAGTATATCACAAAGTGTTGCCTATGGGCAAACGAATGAAGCTTTTTTATCTTTTTTCCTGCAACACAAGCTTTATCTGTTATTTAAAAAAAAAAAAAGATAGGAAAACAGTTATGCAAACAAATGAAGCTCTTTATCTTATCTTTAATGGCACCACACCTCATTGGGATAGTGTTCTTTCATTGTTTTTTCATAGAGTAGTGCATTGGGCTAGATGTATTGATGGTCATTTGTCTATTCTGAAAATGATCTGCTGCGTAGCTCTGACAGAATTAAAAAGGGGGCAAATTCATCAAGAACTCGTTAATTGGGCTCTTAGAATAGATAGTTCACTTTTCATGGATGTGTCAATTTAGATTAGTTTTATTTTTGAAAGGGTGTCTCTTAGATTTTCTATTTTCTTTGTATTCTGAACTCATCTTTTAGCCACTTTCTTGTTGGCTATTTCCATTTTAATATATCGATCGACTTTCATAAAAAAACAGGTTCGTGTATCAACTTTGATAACAGGTTTTAGCATAGATGAATCATGAAAAATAGTTTAAATTTTGGGTTTATGTTCAGGGCACCATTTGTTTGACGGAAAATGAATTGATTTTGGAAAAAAAACTTTGGGACAGCGAATTATTTTCCAAAATTTTGGCTTTTTGCCATGGACAATGTTTTGGAAAACATTCTCTGCCCATTTGGTGTATGCTGAAAAACAACTTTATTTTTCTCTATGCTATTCTTTTTTCTGTATAGAATTTATATGACCTTTTATGTATGATTGTTTCATGATATGTCTTTTGCTATATATATATATATATATATATAGAGGTTATGTATTAATATAAATATATACGTGTAATAAGTGTTGTGGAAGAATAATGATGTAAACCATTTGAAGTCTTGTAAAGAAAGTGTTTTCATCTCTTTTAAACCTGAAAACACTAGGCCGCCAGTGAAGAAAAGGACCCAGCATTTAAAAAAAAAAAAAAAAAAATCCATTCCCTGCAACCAACATACCAAACTAATAGATCTTACACTAACTTCATCTTGATCTCTTACTACAATCATAATAGAAATGTTGATTATTTTGAGTTTGGTGGTCAGGGTTATTTTTAGGGCACGATCTCCTTCTATATCCTATCTCGCCCTTCCTCAAGGCTTATGCTGTTGAAGAGTAAATACCAGTAGTTGCTTACGTTGAAAGAACACTGTCAGCTTTGTTGTTGAGTTTTAGTTCTGATTAAGAATTTTCCAGTCTTCCACAAATTTTATGGTTTTATTATATGTTCTTGCTTTGATAGCAATATAATTGGAGCAATTGCAAGGATATTTCCTAGGGACAGTGCGGAGCAAGTGGTTGAATTACTGTTTGATTGGTTGGAGCTAGTTTCATTCATTCGCGTAATGGAGAATTGGAGGCTGGTTTGCTCATCATGTTAGTTTGGCATCAATTATACTGCAAAAATAGTTATGGAGGGGTGGGTGTTTTGGGACTTGGCAAGGGAAGAATTGATGTGGTGGGATTATGGATAAGTTTTGAACCTTTTGCTGAATGGATGGATTTGGCAAGGGAAGTATTGGTTATTGAGAAGTGCCGAGTAAGACTTTTGAATCTTTTGCTGAATGGATGGATTTCCATAATCTTGTCAATATATTTGGGTAGCAGTTTTGTTAACTTGTCATTATTCAAGTGGCTTGGTCTTACTCATATGTCCACCTTATATACAAGAAGGCATGTTCCAAATTTCATTGCTATAGATTCATTCATCGCTAGGAAAGAAAAATGAAATGTGACAGTGACATGACATTCTGTTTAAAGGCAGAATTGCTGTCATAATTGTATGACACCATGCAAAATTTTATAAGTACCATGCTACTATTTCTGATCATGTATGATATATTTGTTGCCAGCTGCACTTGATAAAATGTTGAATAGATTGATTTATTTCTCAGGACTGTAGGGCTTTGATATCATGCAACTTGTATAGTATTTTTAAGCTCCATATGATTCTTGGTGATTCTATAACTGCTGGCAGTTTGATAAAAGGTTGAATGGGAACTACTACCATGACTTTGTTTCTTATAGCACTCAATGTTCATGTAATTGAACATGATTTACGTAGGAATACTGGTGAGTTCATGATGTCAAGGTACAGAGAAGTTGCTGAGATTGTTCTCAGATACCTCGAGCATCGAGATCGACTTGTTCGGCTTAGCATAACTTCATTGCTACCTCGCATTGCGCACTTTCTGCGGGATAGATTTGTTACAAATTACTTAGAGGTATGTGATTTTCACTGTTTCCTTAATCATACTGCTGCAGCTATAAAAAAAAATAGCATTTTGGAACAGAGAGCATCCCAGATGCATCAACAATTAGTTACCTGATCACGAACAACGTGAAATCTTGATGTCTTGCAGATATGCATGAATCATATTCTTGCAGTGCTGAGAATACCAGCTGAACGTGGCAGTGGGTTCATTGCCCTAGGGGAGATGGCTGGTGCTTTGGATGGGGAACTTGTCCATTATTTGCCGACAATTACAGCTCACTTACGTGATGCAGTAAGCAACCCACTATGTGGCTGACATTATTTTTCTCCAGTGATTTTGGTTTTCTTTCTATTTCATCTTTTGCAGTTTGGGGTTTATTGGTATTTTTCTGTTTGCCTTCTGCACCCCACTTTTAGATTGCTCCACGTAGGGCCAAACCCTCACTTGAGGCATTGGCTTGTGTCGGAAACATTGCAAAAGCCATGGGGCCTGCTATGGAACCTCATGTTCGCAGCCTTTTGGATGTTATGCTCTCTGCAGGGCTCTCTGCCACCCTTGTTGATGCCCTGGAGCAGATAAGTGTTAGGTATTATGTGCCATTTAACAAACTTTTTAATTCTTTTAATTTTTTCTTCAAAAGTGCATAACAAGCTTGAAATGTCCCATGCTTTCAGTATTCCGTTGTTGCTGCCGACTATTCAAGAGCGGCTGCTGGACTGCATTTCATTAGTTCTTTCAAAGTCCCATTATTCTCAGCCAAGGGCAGCTGTTCCTGTTCCTCCTGTTCGAGGGGGTATGACAAATGCACCTCAGCAAGTATCAGACCTCAGTGGTTCAGCTCTGGTGCAACTTGCTTTGCAGACGCTAGCTCGTTTTAATTTTAAGGTTTGCTAACATATATGTCCAAAATTGAATCATATTGCACCACCGATTTTGTTCTGAAGCTATTTTGTTTTCCAGGGGCACGAGCTTCTCGAGTTTGCAAGAGAATCAGTGGTTGTATATTTGGATGATGAAGATGGAGCAACCAGGAAAGATGCTGCACTTTGTTGTTGTAAATTAGTTGCAAATTCCTTTTCTGGTATGGCATCTACGCAGTTTGGTTCTAGCAGGTCCAATCGTACTGGGGGAAAACGATGGCGTCTTATTGAGGAGGTTTAGTTTTCTCTATTTCCTATGTCTTGATGTTCTATTCCTGTTAGATGATGTTCTGTGCTCCCATGTCTTAACCTCTCTGTTTGTTCCCATCATTTCCTGCCTGCCTGTATCCTCCAGTTTGCATCTCCTCTGTTTACGCCATGTAACTGTTTATCAAATGTATGTTATACATAACACGAATAGACAGCTTGGATACTTATTTTAATGTGTGAACTTGATGTTTGCTTGAGCATGTCAACTATTTGAGATCTGTATTAAGATTAGTTTATCATGTTCCACCAAAAAAAAAAAAAGTTGAGTGTGGTTGATAGTGTGAGATTTCTTTGTTCTAGCTCGTAATCTCACATTGTGCATCTGCAGCTTGTGGAAAAGCTTCTCATTGCAGCTGTTGCAGATGCTGATGTCACTGTTCGCCAATCTATCTTTTCTTCTCTTCACGGAAATAGAGGTTTTGATGATTTTCTAGCACAAGCTGATAGTCTCAGTGCAGTTTTTGCTGCTTTGAATGATGAGGTGTGTACGTGGCTCTTGGTTATTACATCTGATGGAATACTTTTATGGTTATGCAATATTATTGTGGCAGATAAATTTTTATCAACAGTTAGTCTGTAATGGAGAGTATATCTGATTTGAAACTTGCCTTAGATTTTCCGTGATATTTTTTTATTCTTTTAATTTTTTTTTAGCCAATTGTATATTTTTAATTGAATACTTGAATTGTTGGCATCTGAAACTCAGGATCAGAATCGAATTGCACCACTTAATAAGATTTCACATGTCATTGAAATCGCATTAACAATTTTATCTTTTCGTAATTAATTTTCGTAATTTCTACTATCTATTTGATTACATGGCAAGGCTGTTTGCTTCCTGATTCTCACCTGTAACATCTATTCTGGAAAGTGCATGATATCTTACTACTCTTTGTTGTTCCAGTAGCTTGGTAAATGGCTTACTCACTCTTCTCTATCTCTGTCTCATCTGTTTTGAAGAATTGCAATGTGAAGTGCTTTTATTTTGATTTAGAATTCAGAATCTATAATTTCACTTCTGATCGTGGGTGTGTTGTTTTTATAACACTGCTACTTTGTGAATTAAGTGATAGGGTTTTCTTTACTGTCGATAGAAAATGTGATGGAGAATTACTAATAAGTTGGATCGTTTCATAGAAATAGGAAATACACTCCGACTACAAGTTTCCCTGTTTCCTTCTTTTTCTGTTCTCAGCTTCCATATTAACCCTGCTTCTTTGCACACACATGTTTCAGTAAACCTAATAGACAGACTTTTTTTCTGATAATGGTGTTGGTTGTCATTTTATAGCGAGACGGTCTTCTCGTTTCCATCTTTAATTTTTCTTCTGTAAGTCAAAAATCTGCATGTTTGAGCAAGGCTTTAGTTCTGATACTTATCATCTTTCCCCTAAAAATAGTGCGTCAGTCATTATTTGGGTTTTTTATCTTGATAAACTTCATTTGAGGTCTCTGAACGGTTGCACTTTGTATAACCCAGTTCCATAAAGTGCATGTTTCTGTTGTTGAATGCCTTTATGCCGGCATGTGGTTTTTTGGGTGTCCCTTTATGATTTTTGGTCAAACCTAGGATATTGCTGTTGTCACAGGATTTTGATGTTAGAGAGTATGCAATCTCCGTGGCTGGAAGACTATCAGAAAAGAATCCTGCATATGTTCTTCCTGCACTTCGTCGTCATCTCATACAGTTGTTGACCTATCTAAAACAAAGGTGACGTTGACAGTTCTTAGATATTGTGCTATCATGTGAACTTGTAAAAAATATGGTAATTTGGGTTGGAAGAAAGAAGTCCTCCCAACCAATCTGTAAAGGTGTCTGATATGAAACTTTCTTGCAATGTTAGCAGTGCAGATAACAAATGCAGAGAAGAAAGTGCGAAGTTATTAGGTTGTTTGATACGTAATTGTGAACGACTTGTACTCCCATACATTGCTCCAATACACAAGGTTTGATCTGTATGTTAGTGTTTATTTTGTTTAGTTCTTCTAGTTACCTTCTTTGTTGAGATATTGGATGTCCAATTGTGCAGGCACTTGTGGCAAGACTTCTTGAAGGAACAGGAGTAAATGCCAATAATGGCATCATTAGTGGAGTTCTCGTAACTGTTGGAGATCTTGCCAGAGTGGTGGGTGAACTCCAGCTTTAATAGATTGTCTTGTTCTCTGGGAGGCAATGAGGAAAAAAGTTTTTTTTTTTTTTTTTATTATTATTTTTTTGTTTATTTTTGTGTGTGTGTGTGTGTGGGGGGGGGGGGGGGGTTGGTGGGGGGAATCTGTCACTATGAATTGGGTTTTAAATCTTCATTTGGAATATCTTTAGCTGGGAAAAATATAAATTGTTGACTGGGCTTGTCCTCAAGCACCTTTAGTGATGCTAATAAGTTTTTGTGATGCTTTCTTATTACCATGATGCTAGTTTACATTTAAATACTTAGAACTTTTCTTATGGTACTTTCTGTTGTTGATATGAGTAAGAAAGTTCAGCCTGCTTTTTAATACTGCTTCTGGGGTTGCTTCTCTTGCTTTCTCCTTCAATGTTAAACTTAAAGTTTTAGTTGGACTAGGAATTAACTTCTTTCAAATGCACATTTCAGGATATGTTTGATTTCATACTTACAACCCTAGTTAGCTTGAAGTCTATCTATGTGGCGTGTTTCCTTGCTGAAACAATAGACCAAAGGACATGCTGCATCAGCTGTTTCCATATATGTTGTTCTCTATGCATGTTGTTTATAATTCTAGCCTGATCTTCAATGTTAAACTTAAAATTTTTTAATTGGACTAGGAATTAACTTCTTTCAAATGTACATCTCAGGATATGTTTGATTTCATACTCACAACCCTATATAGCTTGAAGTCCATCTATGTGGCGTATTTCCTTGCTGGAACAATAGACTAAAGGACATGCTGCATCAGCTGTTTCCATATATGTTGTTCTCTATGCATGTTATTTAGAATCCTAGCCTGATCTACATGCAACTGTGTAATTGTAATATATTCTCTCTTGTTATGATGTGTATGTGGTATATTTTGATTGTGGTACTTGTTTAGGGTGGTTTTGCTATGAGGCAATATATTTCAGAGCTTATGCCTCTGATAGTTGAAGCTTTGTTAGATGGAGCAGCAGTTACAAAGCGTGAAGTGGCTGTTGCAACTCTTGGGCAAGTTGTTCAGAGCACTGGGTATGTGGCATGCCATTTTGTTACTTTGAAATCATGATAAAGATTTTTTTTTTGTTTAATTTTTGGTCTTTTATTTGATAGTTTTATGCGAATCTTAATTATTAATGATGCATGTTAAATATTTTTCCATGGTTGAGATCATGTCGGATTTTTCATCTTCAGGTCAGGATGGAGCATAAGTTTTTTTTTTCTGAAACTCCATGATTTCCATGTAATGCAGCAACAAAATCTTTACAAAACCTGTTTGTCACTTGGGATTATTTTCAGTTTGATGCCTTTGCATGCCACAGATCATAGATAGTTTTCTCTCTGCAACTTGATTTTGTAGTTTGACCATCTTAGAGGACTCCCTTGCAATTCTATTTTTGACTCTTGATTGGAAATGCGAACAAGTGTTGGGCTAACTTCACATTTTCAGACTCTTCATATGGTCCTTCCTCTTCTCCTCCATTTTTCTTCATTACTTAATCTTGAGGCAATAATGTCATTGGGGAAAGTTGAGCATATAAATTATGATTAGCCAGTCTACTTCATGCAAAGAAAGCTGGTCTTGTTGTTTCTTACAATTTTTTATTTTATTTTAATTTTATCATTATCATTAGTGCTTGAGTAGGTCCTTTTCTTTTTCTGACAGGTATGTCATAACTCCATATAATGAGTATCCACAGTTACTTGGCTTACTCCTCAAATTGTTGAATGGCGAATTAGTGTGGTCTACCAGACGTGAAGTATTGAAGGTATTACATGCCTACTAAAATGTTTGGATATATCCTTCTAACTGGTTGACGCTTAACTTTTTGGCTCTCAGGTTCTTGGCATAATGGGAGCTCTGGATCCCCATGTGCATAAGCGAAACCAACAAAACCTGCCTGGTTCACATGGTGAGGTTGCCCGTGCAGCCAGTGATTCAGGTCAACACATCCCATCGATGGATGAGCTACCTATGGACCTTTGGCCTTCTTTTGCTACATCAGAAGATTATTACTCAACGGTAGTACTTGTACTCATTTGTCATTGTTCTCATTCTTCTTGGTATTAATATTCCTTTACGATGAATTCAGGTAGCAATCAACTCCCTCATGCGAATTCTCAGGGATCCTTCACTTGCTAGCTATCACCAAAAGGTGGTAGGATCTCTTATGTTCGTATTTAAGGTAAAACAGCATAGTATATCCCAGTTTTCTTTCATTGACAAAAATGACCAACGACCTCAATTCTATCTTGATGTCTGACACTGTTGGGAATTTTTATGATCTGCGAGGTTAGTCCATGGGCCTTGGCTGTGTACCATATTTACCTAAGGTTAGTGAATCAATTTTCAGCTGTTTTTTCCTTAAATATTCTTTCTACTGAAAACGTAAGTATTTGTGAATGAATTATAAAAATTGCTTCCTCTTGCGTTACCTACTCTCTCTCCATTTCTATGTGTTTCTGTCTGCTGGATTTTTTTTTTTTTTTATCATGTTGCTTGCCCTTGTTTTGATCTTAACTTATCGACTCCTTAAACTGGGAAGTTCACCAGATTACTATTTTACATGGTTTTTTTTCTGGACTTTATCCAATTGTGGCAGTCCGCATTATTCCACGCACACAAAAATGGAAATTTTTTAATGACACAAGTTGATATTAGGAGGTTAAGAAAGTGTAACTTTATTCAAAAGGTGATGATTCTTTTCCATGTTAATGTCTATGTTTGGTTGAACTCAGAAATGTCTGTAGATAACATATTTATATTGTTGGATGATCTTAGTGCTTGTTTGGTATTTTGTTTTTGCAAGCTGTATTTTTGTTTGGTATACTGGACAGCATGTATTTTTTTATACTTGATTAAAATGTCTTCTCCTTTCCTATTTTATGTAGGTTTTGCCGGATCTCTTCCACACTGTTCGTACATGTGATGATTATCTTAAAGATTTTATAACATGGAAGCTTGGAACTCTGGTATCTATTGTGCGCCAGGTGAGTTATGATTTCCTGAAGTGGTTGCACATATATAGTGCCTTTTGGTATTTTTCTTTTAATGATATGTGGGGGTTTCCATTTGCTTGTGCAGCACATTCGTAAATATCTGCCTGAATTGCTCTCTTTAATATCTGAATTATGGTCATCCTTCAGCTTGCCAGCTACCATTCGTCCTTCTCGTGGATTTCCAGTAAGTTATGTTTCCATTATCTGGTGTAGCTGGAATAAACTGCTGTCATGTTTGGAGGCTACTCTTGTAACTTCTCTTGTGTATTTTGGTCTCTTCCTCTTCCTCTCTCTCAAACACGCACACCTCTCTTTTTTCCCCACTCAGGTTTTGCATTTAGTGGAACAGCTTTGCTTGGCTCTCAATGATGAATTCAGAAAGCATCTTCCTGTCATTTTGCCATGTTGCATCCAAGTACTAAGTGATGCAGAAAGGTGTAATGAGTACACATATGTTCTCGATATACTTCACATGCTTGAAGTGTTTGGTGGTTAGTACTCTCTTATGCAACACTGTTTGTTTCATTCTTTTCATATGTCACTAGCTACTATTGCGAAACATTGTAATGTATTAATCAAGTGAAAGAGTGTAAAGAATGCAGAACCTTCTCTCTTCCGTGTAGGAGTCTAGAATCTACTAGGAAGTTATAGGGAAACACTTGGATAATGTGCTTGTCTGTGTGCTAGTGGTAAAAAATTGAAGCAATGCAACTCATATTTGGTTAGGGACTATGGACAACGTTAGTTTCAGTGTGGTGTTGTGTTATGAAGGATCTTTGGTTAGGGACTATGGACAATGTTAGTTTCAGTGTGGTGTTGTGTTATGAAGGAAACTGGCAAATTTTTTTGTGCATACATCAAAGAACGGAATCCTGGTTTCTCATTCCACTTGGATTACTTTTAGAGCAGATGCTGCAGTGGATATAGAACATTCTGTTTTACAAAGTGCCATACTTGAAAGATCTTCTAAATTGCAGCCTGTAGAGAATTTCTCATTATGCTTACACAATGTAGGGACATTGGATGAGCATATGCATCTACTTCTTCCTGCGCTTATTCGATTGTTTAAAGTGGATGCTTCTATGGATATAAGACGGGCTGCTATCAAAACTTTGACGAGATTGATCCCCTGTGTACAGGTGAGTTCTTGGCTTGTAAAATCACTTATTTTTCCTGCCTTAAAATAGACTGCTTATGGTCATTGCTTCTTGCTATCATGATAAGATCCAGAGGGGTACTGTATATTAGTCATATTGTCATAGCAGTTAAAAATGTCTTTGCATAAAGAGAAGAAAAAAAAAAACAAAGATATTTTGATATGTTCTAATGCTGTGTCACTAAACACATGCTAGCCTGTGTACAGACAAATGTATATACATATGTAGTTGTGGATGCCTATAACTAATTTATATACCTTATGTTATTTTCATCAGGTTACTGGTCACATTTCTTGCATAAATGAAAAAAAAAAAAAAAGGTCTCTTGATATGTTCTAATGCTGTACCACCAATCACATGCTAGCATGTGTACAGACAAATGTATATGCCTATGTAGTTTTGGATTCCTATAGCTAATTTCCATATCTTCTTATGTTATTTTCATCAGGTTACTGGTCACATTTCTTCTCTTGTGCATCACCTGAAGTTAGTGTTGGATGGGTAGGTTTCCACTTCTACTTTCTATATAGAAACCTGCTTTTGTCCCTGTTATTGTATTCATGCATGTCTGTTAAATTCAAACACGGTCCTCTTAGTCCATATTTCCTTACACGTTTCTGTTTGTCATGAAATGTTTGCCAATATTTGAGCTAAAACTTTATTAAGATTAAATGCTATGTTTTCAAGCCTTTCTTTTATTGGTTCTCCTGTCCTACCAACATATTTGATCGGTTTCTGTTGCATGGAAGTCTCTTCTGTGTTTTTCCTGGCACTAAGGTGTATCATGAATAGTGGTAATTGGATCGAGAATTGTTATCCTCCATCTTAAATGTCGAAAGAATAATTGACATGAAGCGGACTCTGAAACCTTGGTGAAATATATTTCCTCCTCTCTCTCTCTCTCTCTCTCGTTCTGTTTTTGCAAGGGCAACTTTTCATTTATGCTTATGTCCCGGACAAGAAGTTCACTATCTTTTGGGTTTTTTTCCCTATATTCTGACTTCAATAAGAGCAATCAGCAAAACGAACACAATTCTTCCCCTTTTAGCGTTGTGCATACTCTTGTTTTGGGCCCTTTCATGAAAAAGTTTCAGCTCATTTCTGACTCTACTTTCCAGTCAGGGGATACTGATTTTAAGAGTAAACCAAAACCTGAGGTGTTGATGGTTTCTGGAATTCGATAGTGTTATTGAGTCTATGGGGCATGGATAAAGTCATACATATCCATGCTCTCTGTATATTTAAATGATTGTCTTGACAAATATTTCAACCCTAGAATAAAATCAAACATCGCTTCTTCTATCTGTAATTGTGATCCCCTTTCCTCTTAATTCCTTGCAAATGTTAAAGATATTTGCATTGGTTCTACTTGTGGGTTAGGTTTTTTCAGAATCTCTCTTCACCTTGGAGACAATATTGTAACTTTGATATGAAATGTCCCCCCATTTCCATATTATTTGTGCACCTGTGGCATGTTTCTCTTGCATGATGCTCCAATGTCTAAGCTTGTAATTTGCAGGAAGAATGAAGAGATCCGGAAAGATGCTGTTGATGCACTTTGTTGTTTGGCTCATGCCTTAGGGGAGGATTTCACCATTTTCATCCCATCAATTCACAAACTCTTACTGAAGCATCGATTGCAGGTCTGTGCTTTACCTGAATTATTATTATTGGACTTGCTTATAAACAACCTTCTCTTCTCCTGTGCTGCTGCATAGAGTTGAGACAACCACCGCGCCCCTCCCTCCCCCCCCCCCTCCGCACAACCCCTACCCCACCGAATTTTAAATATAAGTTCTCTCTATTGTCAGCATAAAGAATTCGAAGAAATTGAAGGACGCTTGAGGAGACGTGAACCTCTAATCTTGGGGAGTACAGCTGCACAAAGATTGAGCAGACGACTTCCAGTGGAGGTTATTAGTGACCCTTTAAATGATATGGATAACGACCCTTACGAAGATGGGGTTGACATGCATCGACATCTTAGAGGCCATCAGGTAACTTTGTCTTATGAGCACATGTTCAGTGGTTTTTGTTACTGATTTTTATTTAGCTGTGGCATGTAGGCTATGCCAAGTCTTAAGTAAAATGTCTAGGTTGTTAGCTCTGATCATTTGTTAGTGTGCATGCCAATTATTTCATTTGCACGGTTTTGATTGTCAAAAGACCACCGAACTTAAAAGCTTAAGCCATCAGGCGAGACCCATAATGGTTTTATTTTTCTCTCACATACTCCTTCAAGTGATATAGCCCATTGAGTTTGAATGTTGGACAAAAAACTGGCATATACAAGGTTAAAAGCAGACTGTACATTGGGTAGCACTGACTAATGGCCCATAATATTGTTGCACTGTCCTTATCTAAAAATATTATGGGATACTATTTCAAAATTGCTTATTGTAGAACTACCCTTGATAGATGAACTGCCCATGCTTTAATTTAAGCACAACAGGCTCTTGTTTGAAGGGGCTTGTTAAAAATATAAAAGCTATCTTTGGCCTTCACAAAATGTTGAGTTTTTGAGTTGAATGTTCTGGTGCATGCCATTTTATCTCACCCATGCCAACATTTTTCACTATATCTATTTGCAATATCATTGTTTTGTCTTGTTGTGTGTAATTTTGTGCAGGTTAATGATGGTCGATTACGCACTGCTGGAGAGGCTTCTCAGCGCAGTACTAAAGAAGATTGGGCAGAGTGGATGAGGCATTTGAGCATCGAGCTTCTGAAGGAGTCTCCTTCTCCAGCTTTAAGAACCTGTGCAAGGCTTGCACAGTTGCAGGTTTGAACAATAACACCATTTATGGGCCTACTCTTGTTGTTTCCATTCTGATCCACAGTGTTTGCAGCCTTTTGTTGGACGAGAGTTATTTGCTGCTGGTTTTGTTAGCTGCTGGGCACAACTGAATGAGGCTAGTCAGAAACATTTGGTTCGGAGTTTAGAGATGGCATTTTCATCTCCAAATATTCCTCCAGAGATTCTAGCAACGCTTCTTAACTTGGTATGTCCTGTCTTCATATGAAATACTATTCTTATATTAAATAATCTATAAATCAGATTGTGGTTTAAGATGGAGATCTTTTTTTTCCCCTTTCACTGTGGAAACTATTGCTTGGATGGTGAAGTGATGGGGACAACAAATGAAGCAAAATTTGTTTCTTTTTGTAGACAAGGGTATTTCTATAATTTCCAGAAAATCTGGAAATTTGTCTAAGTTTAGGTTTTATTTTCTATTTAGTATTTTATTAGTCCTAAGGAGTAATAATTAGCTTTATTAGGTTTTCCCTATTCTACATAGATTTAGTATTTTCTTATTTAGGAATTCTTGTCCTAATTAGATTTGGACTTCTACAACTCTGTAAATATAGTATGTAATCTTTCAATATGGAGAATGCAAAAACATCAAATAATTTCCAGCACTTTGCTTTTGATTGTGTGACTCAATCACCCTTAGGTGTGACTCCTAAGAACCCTAGGTGTGAAGCTTAGGTTTTCCTATCCTCTAGGTATGACTCCTAGAAACCCTTTTAGTGTGACTCTAATAGTTCTACAATTCAAATTAGAAATTGATTTCAATACAACCATAAACACCTCTAAACAGCCTCCAAACTCAGATCCAGAACAACGTCTAAGCTGTCCTGCATCATGAAGTGTGCTATAGCTGTAATATATTTTTTAAGTAACCAATTAGAACTTGCTCAACAGCTTAAACCATTGAAGGTTTGTACAGCTATGTGTTTAAAACTTCGCTACCTGAATAAGTAACTCTCTGTTTCCGCTTGTCATCCTGGCTCCAGCTCAGCAATGATAATTCTTCCAGATATTGATGTTAGAGGTGGCTTAGAAACAATTTAAGAGAAACTGGTTCTCTTTTCTTTTCTTTTCTTTTCTTTTTCTTTTTCTTTTTTTTTTTTAACAGCAGAGGAATGGACAATAAATTTTGGGGTGTGTGAGTTAAAAAAAAAAAAAAAAAAATTTGGGGGAAGCTTGCAAGAGTAAGGAAAGCTCAAATTATTTACGCTGTTCCATTTCTTCCACACATGAAAATTTAAGTTTAAAATTTCTCAAACTTTAGGCCACTATCTAACTTTCACAAGGATTTACCTGGATCTTCACATGATGCATAATTTTGAAATGGAGATAAATTTTTGGTACTGGTCCTTGTTTCTCATGAAATGATATCTGGTAATTTTTCTGCTTTTGTGGTTGCCCCTAATAGTGGTAATTGGAAACTTGGAATGTGCATTGAAATAAAAGGTAAGGACAGAGCGTGCAAGATTTAGATATATAATGTATTGCCATCTTTGCCAAGTTGTCCCTTGCAATTGTCCCTGATCTTGGGTACCAGCATTATAAAATTTGTCAAGAGGTGGTCATTGTGATGCAGAACAGCCTTGAATATTGAAACTTTAGTGTTTTAGATAGGAATTATGGTTGGGGTGTAATGTATGTTGAATCGGTTTGATTAGGAATGTGTTTCAGGAGAATTTGGGGGTCTAATTTGGGCTTCGAAAAGTAATATGTGATTATAGAAATAAGAAATAGAAGAAAAGAAAGAGGAAGAAAGAGTGTTAAGATAATGGAGAAGGGGAAGAAAGATCACATAAGTCCGCAACCCTAAACTAAGATAATTTCATTATTCCAAGTCTGACAATTGCATAGAAAGATGCTTCTTTTATATGCGTAAAAATCTCTAGTAGTACTAAACTTAACACAAAATAAAAATCTAAGTAGGAAAAGGAAAATACACACAATAAAAAAAACTCCTACCTAATATTCTAGTTCTTAAATAAACTAAGTTTCTAAATAGCATTAGTATTCCTACAAAACAATTCTGAAATACTCTAGTTTTCCAGGAAATATCGAGATATACATAATAACTTGTAATTTCCAAACCTTTCTCTCATTGACTGCATCACATTGTTTCATCTTGGCTCCTAAAATGTGAAAAGGAAGTTACAAGTAATGTATGTAGTCCTTGTGAATCTTGGCATGCTTGCCCTGTTGTGCTGTTATAGGAAGGGTGACTGTTTATCCTATTGATTCTCCTTTGCAGGCTGAGTTCATGGAACATGATGAGAAACCTCTACCTATAGACATCCGCCTTCTTGGTGCTCTTGCGGATAAGGTTCATCCTACAAATAAGCAACTCTATAGCTGCACGGCCCTCATGCTTTTGTTTATATTAAAAGCTATACTTGTATATTTCATTCATTTGTTTATGGTGAATGCTACATTCCAGTGTCGTGCATTTGCCAAGGCTTTGCATTATAAAGAAATGGAATTTGAAGGTTCACGCTCCAAGAAGATGGATGCTAATCCTGTTGCTGCAGTTGAAGCTCTCATTCATATAAATAATCAGTTACATCAGCATGAGGTCTGTTTTGAGGAAGAGCTCTTTTTACTTTTTGTACCCTTTTCAGCTGCCTCTTAAAAACTTTGTGTCAGCTTGTCTTGGTTTCTGATCATTCTTATCTCATCCCATGTTGATTCTTAGGCTGCTGTTGGAATATTGACCTACGCCCAACAACACCTGGATGTTCAACTTAAGGAGTCATGGTATTAACAAACATTGACGTGGAAGGAATATATTTCTGTTCTCTGAATAAATCATCGATGTTTCGTTTGTTTCAGATAAAAATATTTTATACTTTAATCTTCCTGCATCTGGTTAGGTATGAGAAGTTGCAACGGTGGGATGATGCTCTCAAAGCATACACTGTCAAAGCCTCTCAAGTTTCAAGTCCACATCTTGTATTGGAAGCTACATTAGGTTTGCTTTAATTAACTCATGTTGGTTGCTACTACTGCTTGGTTTATTTTCTTTTCTGTAGTTAATTTCTTGGAGTCATTCCGTCGTACTAGCCTTACTTTTTTTATACCAGAAATCTGATCTTGAGCTCCTTTTTTTGCAATGTACTTAAAATGAAAAGTAAATTGATAAAATCAAATGAAGAAATTGACCATGCAATATTGTGGAGCTCTAATTTCGTGAAGCTACTCCAGGCATCTACTGCTGTTCAATAAGGCTTTTCACTGGTGTGAACACACCTGATTGCCAAGATGCTACCTAGGGTCATTTATGGGCGGGGATAGCACATGTAACTGTCGAATTTTGTATATCTTGCCTCAGAAATCAATGTGTCAAATGTCCAATAAGGATCCTCTATTATCGCATTCTTTTTCTTGGTTTATGGGGAGGCCCATTTGTTGCTACTAGAGTAGTCCTTTTTTCTTGGTTTATTAAGGCTTGTGGGTTTCGTTCCAAGTTGATGTAGGTTTGGAAGAGGAAAACAACACTAAACGGCAGTTACAGCTGAACATTGAGTACAGAAAATTGAAGTTGGAACAAGAAAAGGAGGCCTGGAGTTCATAGAGAAATCTCTAAAATCTGAAATTGATTGATTAAAAGTAAAACATTGGCCAGTAAAAATTATCCATAGTAGCCAATTGTACTAGTTAAAACCCTAGCCTTAATACTTGTAGGAAAGAAATCTCTATTAAAGTCAAATGCTAATCACATCACAACTAGAGAAACCAAATAACTTAGAGATTTATAGCCAAATAAGAAAATCAATAAGCAAAATATTAGAAACCTCGTGCATCACAAGTTACTATTAGCTAAGTTAACTAGCACCTCCTCTGCTTGTATTGATTAACTGCACAGCGTTGCTTTTAGTCATTTCTTATATCCATTTTGCTAAAGCTTGTCAGATGGTAACTAGCACCCCTCTGCTTGTATTGATTACCTGCACAGCGTTGCTTTTAGTCATTTCTTGTATCCATTTTGCTAAAGCTTGTCAGATGATACCTATCAAGGGCTGTGGTTACTAATGTTAGTTAGTGTAGGTCCTTGTTGGAGGAACCATACAGGAGTGCCCTTTTGGTTGGCTGAAAATATCTTTGAATGAAGCATTTTTTTTATTGGTGATGGAGGGCACCTAGAGGCATTGGGCCAGTGGGCTGCATTACCTTGATAGCCTATTCATGCAATGATATCCCTCTTAAGTTTTCCATTGAGATTTCAAATTTCATCACCAGCTTCTTCCCCACATATTTTTCCACTTGAGGGATGGGGATGCATCACTTTTTTATGCTTCCATATTACAAGAGCTTGAAGGTCTTGAAATCCTGAAATTAATTATCCTTGTGTCCTACGTAGGGAGGATGCGATGTCTTGCTGCTTTAGCTCGGTGGGAAGAGCTTAACAACCTTTGTAAAGAATATTGGACACCAGCTGAGCCATCTGCTCGATTGGAAATGGCTCCAATGGTTGTTTTCTGAACTTCATGCAGTTGTTATAACTTGACCCGCTGTGCATGCTTATTTTTGCGACGTGATTGTTTCAGGCTGCTAAAGCTGCTTGGAACATGGGTGAGTGGGATCAGATGGCAGAATACGTGTCTCGATTAGATGATGGTGATGAAACTAAACTTCGGGGTTTGGGTAATACTGCTGCTAGTGGCGATGGAAGTAGTAACGGTACATTCTTCAGGGCTGTGCTATTAGTTCGTAGAGGGAAGGTATTTGTTGAATTAGATCTAAGTTAACTCTGAATTATTTGCTTTTTTTTTTGGGTTCTGCATGCTTAATTTTTTCATTATTACCATTGTTTCTGCAAGTATGATGAAGCTCGTGAGTATGTTGAGAGAGCTAGGAAGTGCCTAGCAACTGAGCTTGCTGCTTTGGTTAGTTTCTAATTTCCTCATGATAATTCCAATTAAGCATGGGTTTCTAAGTCAGCTTTTGCATAATGACTTCTCTTTCTGTATAAAATTCTCTCATTGACTATTATCAACATGAGTTATTTTCTTTTCCAGGTTCTGGAGAGCTATGAGCGTGCTTATGTCAATATGGTCCGTGTTCAGCAGCTGTCCGAACTGGAGGAGGTTTACTCAATAGTTTCCAACAATTTATCCACCTTTTTTGTTCTATTTCTGCATACAATCATGAAAATTAAACTCGAGTATGGAGTGGTAATTTGTATTTTTTTAGGTCATTGACTATTGTACCCTTCCTGTGGGAAATCCTGTTGCTGAAGGACGGCGTGCCCTTGTACGCAATATGTGGACAGAGAGGATACAAGGAGCGAAACGTAATGTTGAGGTAGAGATTATTTGCTATTCTCTCCCCCATAACCACACCGACAACCCAAACCCCCTCCCCCTCCCCCGGCGTGCCATGTGCATTCATGCTTTCTGCTAACCAACAGAAGTGTAGATAATTTCCTGCAAGTGAATATTGCTAGATGTGATGCGGTGGCATATGAGGTTTTCATGGCATGCATATTGTGAAAATGAAGTCACCTTAGTATAAGCATTTCATGGCATTGGAAGCTAGGTTAAAACATATAGGAAGTGCTATGACAATGGTTTATTGATTATTGCTTCCCACTTTCAGTGAAAAGCTTTCATGGATAGTGACAATTTCTTTTTCTCTGATCTGTTTGACCATTTTTATGCTTGATATTTTAGGTCTGGCAAGCTATTTTGGCTGTAAGAGCACTTGTACTGCCTCCAACTGAAGACATTGATAATTGGCTCAAGTTTGCTTCTCTATGTCGAAAAAATAATCGCATTAGTCAGGCTAGATCCACTTTGATTAAACTTTTACAGGTTCGTGGTGCATGTCTTGTCAAACCAACACTGATGTTAATTTGGGGTTGATTCTCATTTGTCTTTGCCTAATGAATTTTGTTTCGTATTTTAAACAGTATGACCCTGAGACATCTCCTGAAAATATGCGATACCATGGGCCTCCTCAAGTGATGTTGGCATACTTGAAATATCAATGGTCACTTGGGGAGGATCACAAGCGAAAAGAAGCTTTTGCTAGGTTGCAGGTGTGCATAACTGATTTAGCTGTGACTCTATCAGACACAATTACCTTATTCATATAGTCTCATTTGCTAATTCTCTTGCTATGTGTGTTGGTTGGATGCCAAATCATTCTTACAGGATTTGGCCATAGAGCTTTCAAGTGACCCAAATATGCAATCAATTATACCAGCAGGTTTAATGGGTGGCACGGGTCAAAAGGCCCATCTCTTGGCACGTGTATATCTTAACCTTGGAACCTGGCAATGGGCGCTTTATCCTGGTTTGGAAGATGATTCCATGCAAGGTGGCTGCCCACTTTCCCCACTAATTTGTGCAAGAAATTGTGTTTTTTGGTCAGTGTTTTATTTATTCTTTTTTTTCCCCCGATGCAGAGATTCTTTCATCATTCAGGAATGCCACTCAGTATGCACCAAAATGGGGAAATGCATGGCACTGGTGGGCTTTGTTCAATACAGCAGTGATGTCACAGTATACGATAAGAGGGTTGCCAAATGTTGCCTCACAGTTTGTTGTTGCAGCGGTCACTGGATATTTTCATTCAATTGCCTTTGCTGCAAATGCTAAAGGGGTTGATGATAGTTTACAGGTAAATAATATCTCATATATGGGTCTCGTTGCACAATGAAAATCTTAGATATGCACCTAATAGAAAGCAGACATCATCTTTTAACTACAGCTTTTACTGTAAACTTCGATCTATTCATTGATGACTTTTCTATTCGTTATTCTTTCTATTTGTTCTTCTTTCTTTCCACATTGTAGCTTTAGTCACTTTCTGTTGAATAGGCACCTTGTTGATTGTTATAACAGATGAAGATTATGGTGTGAATCTGGTCACAATTTCAATGAACCTGCAGTTTGTACTTTCAAAATTATATGGAGATGCATTAGCGTGTATGTGGTCATTTTTAATACTGTAGGTATAAATTTATATCGTGATGCCTGCATTTTTCACAGGATAGAGGAGTGTTGTTTCTTTTGTCCTGTATTAAAGTCAATAACTAGATGTTCATCTGTCATATTTTCCTGGATCCTGTTTTGTTTCCTATTCTCTTATATATTAGTACTTAAGATGGATGTTGGTCTGTGCTATTTGTTTCAGGATATACTCCGCCTTCTTACCTTATGGTTCAACCATGGAGCTACTGCAGAAGTTCAAATGGCACTGCAGAAAGGATTTGCTCATGTTAATATCAACACATGGCTTGTTGTTTTACCTCAAATAATTGCCAGGATACATTCGAATAACCATGCTGTGAGAGAACTAATTCAATCACTTTTGGTGCGAATTGGACAAAGTCATCCACAGGTGTGCATTTTTTGCTTGATGCTTTCCAAATCGATAACTATACTGTTTTAGGTTCATGCAAGAACTGAAATATAAATTTTTGAGTTTGTATTTAAGCTGCAGAACAGAACAAAATGAATGTGATAGTGATTGTGGTAGAGAATGGCATATTTAACTTGACCTCAGTGGCAACAAGAAACCCGTACAATTGCCACTTGCAGTGCAAAAATAGTATATGAATGCTAATTGAACCAATTTCAAATTAATTTTTCCTGATAAAATCGTATTTTTTAATAATCTGTTCTAGAATTTCGTTTAATAATCTTTGCCATTTTCAAATCAATTTGCCTGATAAAATGTTTTTTTTTTAGTTATTGTTCTATTGTATTTTATTTTTTAAAGCATGGATAGAATCTCTGAAAGTACGAGAATTCTAATTGAATTGAAGTCAAACATAAATTCTAAATATTCTTATTGAGGTGACACTAGATTTTGACTGCTCTACCTAAAAGGTTGGAATCTTCCTTTATTCCACGTTTAGTCTCTTCCAATACATTTTATAAAGGCTACTGTGGTAGCACAAGCTTTGCATTGCATGTAACTATGTAAGTCCTTGAGACAGATGTCTCTTAGTTCAAATGCATCTAGACATCTGCATGTGTTTAATAAATTGATATCTTTGCAGGCTCTTATGTACCCTCTTCTTGTGGCTTGTAAATCTATAAGCAATTTACGTAAAGCAGCTGCTGAGGAAGTGGTAAACAAAGTGCGGCAGCATAGTGGTGTGCTTGTGGATCAGGTTAATTAAATGGTCGATTTACAATAAATTTATTGTTTGTTGCAGTTTGGTTTGTCTTGATAACAGTCTCCTTCCATATGTAGGCACAACTTGTATCTACGGAACTAATTAGAGTTGCGATACTTTGGCATGAAATGTGGCACGAGGGACTGGAAGAAGCAAGTCGTTTGTATTTTGGTGAACATAACATTGATGGAATGCTAAAGGTGTTGGAGCCTCTGCATAAAATGCTTGAGGAGGGTGCTATGAAGGAGAATATTACTGTTAAGGAGAGAGCATTCATTGAGGTTGCTATTTATACTATTGCATTAGTCATTACATAATTTTGCTCTGCGATATTTTCTATAAGTGTATTTGATCTTATTTTGGAACTGTTTTGAATTTTAAGCACGATTCAATTGTTGAATTATGCATCTTGCTTTTTTTTTATTAGCCTATAGTGCTACGCTTCTAATCTAATTTATTGATCAGTTGACTATCTTTGTTTTGAAAATCATTTGTAATTTCTGAAATCGGTGCGCAGGCGTATCGGCATGAATTGTTAGAGGCATGGGACTGTTGCATGAAGTACAAGAAAACTGTAAAAGAGGCTGAGCTTACTCAGGTATGATAGTTTGACGGAGTGAAATACATGAATTTTTTTTTCCGCAGGGGGAGGGGGGTTTTAGTTTTTCGTACTGGTTAAGAAAATGGAAAACTTTTCTTGTGTGTGCATGAATCTGCCTGGGGTTGGATGGATTGGGAAAATCATGAAATATGAGTACATCCTCTTTCTGATTGCCATTTTAAGATATGTAAACACAGATCATTTCCTTATTGCATTTCTATACATGCATCAAAAAATATTTAGAGTGCCACTTCATTAGATTACTAAAACTTGCTAACTGAGTTATTTATCGTGATTTAGGAGCCAATCGTTGTTTTGTTTTTCAATTTACTCTCTTTCCATTCTTTTTCAAATTTTGGTGTTTGAATAATCCAAATAACCATACACTGCATCTGTCCTGCATCCATTCACCCTCTGTAGATTGCAGTTTAAGCCAAGTCCAGTAAGGACATAGTTTAGGTGAATTTGTACTCCCTCTCCCAGGCTCTAAATTCCGATACAACAACAAAGCCTTAATCCCCAACTAGTCAGGGCCAGCTACAAGGATCCTTTTGCACCATTCTGCATGATCATAAACCAAATCTGTCTTCGTATCAAGATAGTTTAAATCGTTCGATGCCACTTCCATCCACATTTTGTTCGGTCTCCCTCTACCTCCTTTCACCTCTTCCACTATTTTCATCTATCTGAATCAGGGCCTCTAGTGGCTTACTTTAGACAGACCCAGATCATCTGAGGCGTTCTTCTCTCTTTTTTATCTCCAATTTTCCGTACAGTGAAAAATTTGTTCATTTCTAACCATATCTATTTTTGTGTTACCGAGTATCCATCTTAGCACACACATCTCCACCATGCTCATTTTATGAGGATCTTGTTGTTTTGTTACCTGAGATTCACTCCTATACAGCATGTTTGGGCTCACTGCGTTATGTGGAGCTTACCTTTCCCTTACGAGGGATTATTATTATTATTATTATTTCAATGGGAAATGAATTTTTTAGGGAAAATATGCACAAAAGAAGAAGGACAAATACTCCTAAAATACTAAGAGGAGAAACATCTTTTCCATAGCTGAAGTAATGTAGTCACATGTTAGGCTGGCTTAGTTGAAGCTATGGATGGGAAGGCGTGTGCTTGTATCAAAACCGAGAAGCTAATGATATGAACTATGTTTTGATCAGGCATGGGATCTATATTATCACGTCTTCAGACGAATAGACAAGCAGCTTCAAGTCATGACGACTCTTGACCTGCAGGTAAGAATGATATATCTTTACATTAATTTCTAGCCTGTTATTGAATTGGAACTAACCATTCTTTGATTGTGCCAAAACAGTCTGTTTCTCCTGAGCTGGTAGAATGCCGAGATTTGGAGCTTGCTGTTCCTGGAACATATCGTGCTGGTATAATGAACTTTTTACAACTCATTTATTACCAAACCCTCGTTTCGTGGCTAATCCTTCAACTTGGTTTCTCATGCTTCAGATTTACCAGTAGTGACAATAGCTTCGTTTTCACCTGAGCTTGTTGTCATAACTTCCAAACAGCGACCCCGGAAATTGACTATTCAAGGGAGTGATGGGGAGGATCATGCCTTCTTGCTGAAGGGACATGAAGACTTGCGCCAAGATGAACGTGTCATGCAGGTTATCTATCTTTTGCACTTCAGATATTTATTATTGTACTATGTTTTGCTAGTGATGCTATTTGGTTCCCATTGCTGGGGTAATGCTAAGAATCTGTTGGCTGTTGTCAGCTTTTTGGATTGGTGAATACTCTGCTGGAGAATTCAAGAAAAACTTCAGAGAAGGATCTGTCTATTCACCGATATGCTGTAATTCCATTATCTCCAAACAGTGGGTTAATTGAATGGGTTCCTAATTGTGACACACTACACTATCTCATTCGAGAATACAGGGATGCCAGGAAGGTACATTAAAGTTTATTGGTGGGTATTAGGGGCTGGGTAGGGGATGTGGGGGTGTTGAGGTTTTTGCATGCACTTGTTCAGTGTATGGTTATATTAGTATATTGTGATGAGACATCTGCAATTGATGGAGTCCTGTATGTCTTAAATCATTTCAGATTACCCTAAATCAAGAGCACAAATACATGCTCAGTTTTGCTCCGGATTATGACAATTTACCACTCATAGCTAAAGTTGAAGTCTTTGAGTATGCTCTTCAAAATACTGAAGGGAATGACCTGGCTAGGGTATGGAATGAAAATTCATCTCTTCAATATTTTTTTCTTTCTTCCCAATGGACACTATTTCAATGCACCAAGTCATGTTTTCTGCTAGGTTCTGTGGTTAAAAAGTCGCACTTCTGAGGTATGGCTGGAAAGGAGAACAAATTACACAAGAAGTTTGGCAGTCATGAGCATGGTATGCGTTCACCTTGTATCATGGTTTAGCAGTCATGAGTACGTTATGTGTTTACCTTGTATCATCTAACGGCTTTATTAAAGGATTCCATCCATTATTAATGAATCTCTCAACGAATGTCATTATATTGAGCTGACTATGAAGTTTTCCCAAACAAACTTATCAAGAAACACTGAATCTTGTTTTCTGTGGTTATCTTGATATTTCAATGGGTATAACTGCTTGGCCCCAATTTGATAATCATTTGTGGTTCCATATGGTTGAATACTGTCTAAAAGATTTAGGACACAGAAGTAGATAATCCAAAATCACTGGCTCCTTTTTGCCTTTGAACTGTTCCAGATCCATAACTTTTTTTCCTGTTTTGGCAATGATCGAGGAAATAAGATCTTGATGCATCTAGTTGTTGGATGTCTAAGTTTTAACTCTTCGCCAATGTAGTTTGTTGTTGTCCATTCACATTCTTTTGTATACTAGGCTTCTTAACCTTGCCTTGTTTCTATCATATAAATAAATGAAAGCTGCTCTGTTTTGATTCATGGTGCCTATAACCTTTTTTCTTAATTCACCGTCTCTTTGTAGGGAAATTATTTCGTGTTTCAAGCAGGGAAATGATTTAACGTTAATTGCTTTCTGTTCAGGTTGGTTACCTTCTTGGCTTAGGTGATCGACACCCTAGCAACCTTATGCTACATCGCTACAGGTAGATAATGATTAGAACAAAGCAAAGTACAGAAAAGCGCTGGTATTTGGGATCTTCTCATACTTTTTATGTTTTTCAGCGGGAAGATCTTGCATATTGACTTTGGAGATTGCTTTGAAGCTTCAATGAACCGGGAAAAGTTTCCTGAGAAGGTGCATTCTATAAAATACTGCTTTATCATATGCTTCCTAATGCACAATGGTCCTTGTTTAATTTAAAATGCAGTAGTGTGCTTAAAATGATATTTTCAATGTAGGTTCCCTTCCGTTTGACAAGAATGCTTGTGAAAGCTATGGAGGTTAGTGGTATAGAGGGCAATTTTCGCTCTACTTGTGAAAATGTGATGCAAGTTCTTCGAACACACAATGATAGTGTTATGGCCATGATGGAGGTACGAACGCTGGAGTTGATTGTTCTATTTTGTACTTCTGTGACCCTACTCCATAGGAAAAGTCAAAAGATTAAATTAACTGCAACCTTTGAATACCCTCTGAAAATCCACACATGTAGAATGGTAGATGCTGTTGAAAGCAACCGCAATTAGTTAGTGTACAAGAAGTTTAAATTTGCAATAATACAGATGATGTTAGACTATTTGTTGTATGAAAACCAATTGTTGTTTTCTAAATTTTTAAGAATTGTAAGTATTGAGGTAAATATATCCAGTTCATGGAAGAAAAAAAGTAAAGGTTTCCAGTTGGTTGACATACGATTGATCTGGTCTTCAATGCTACTGCTGAAAGGAAAATGTAGATTCTTGTTTATAGAAAGGACAATTAGGTAAGTGAATCTGGTTCTCCTATTTTTCAGGCCTTTGTTCATGATCCTCTCATCAATTGGCGCCTTTTCAACTTTAACGAGGTCCCACAAATGTCAATGTTTGCCAATAGTCATGTCCCTGCTGTTGTGAATACTGAGGAATCTGCTCCTAGCAGAGAGCTCCCTCAACCTCAACGCGGTGCTCGTGAGAGGGAACTTCTTCAGGTATCATGATCTATTAAACGTTAGAACTTTTCAATAATGTTCTCTCATGATGCTTATATATTCATTTGGGTTTATGTAGGCTGTTAATCAGCTTGGTGATGCTAATGAGGTTTTGAATGAACGTGCTGTGGTTGTCATGGCCCGGATGAGTAATAAACTGACTGGACGTGATTTTTCCACACCTTCATTGTCTGCAAGTTCTATCCAACATGCAGTAGATCACAGCTCCTTAATTTTCGGAGATACTCGTGAAGATCATGGTTTATCTGTTAAATTGCAAGTTCAGAAGTTAATTATTCAAGCCACATCACATGAAAATCTGTGCCAAAATTATGTTGGGTATGATGCCAATGTGCCTTCTCACCCCTTCTTCTTTTTTTCCCTTGTTTTATGCACATCTCAAAGTTTTATATCAACATGTGTTTAAAGACGGGTTGGTGATACTTTTGTTGGTATAACATGCATGGTTTTATTCAAAAAATTTCCCTGTGAATTCTTCATTTTTCCCAATTCTGATTCAGTGATAGTAGAATGTAGCATGATTTTATTAGCAGAAATGACAGCTGAACAGAGGTGGCATTGAACCCTTCTTTTCACTTTTAATTTTATCATCAAAAGTTAAATTATGCCATTTCCTGTCATTTTCATCATCTAATTTTACACTGAATGTAAGAAGTCTACTACTTGGGCAGGTTTTATTAACTGTTTTTTCACGTTTTACTTCTCAGGTGGTGCCCTTTTTGGTGAAGAGAAGCAACCCTGTTGCATAGTGAATTTAGCTCAATCACAGTAGACCTCGAGAGAAGTTGTGGTTTGCCTTTTCTCTCATTGTTACTTGTGTATATAGATACGGTTTGAAGTAACGAAAGTTGCATATATTCTTGTATAGTGGAATTGTATTTGAAATGCATAGGAATGAGCTTCATCCCCACAGAATAGGCGCTGCTATATATTCTCCATTGTAATTAGTTAACCCTCGAACCAGAACCAATGCAGCAGTAGCGCTGCTTTCCATCCTTGTGACGCCCAAGATTTGGAATTTCTCAAGCAAGTTAGATTTTACGATATTGTTTGTTTGGTTTCACATGGGTGTCACTAATTATTTTCTCGTTACATGCCGCCAAGTACTTCTGTGACATCTTGAATCGCAACTTCCTCGACGAGGCCAATTGGCAAATTCAGATACTGGTGCATAGCGTCGAGTGATTTTATGTGGCAACCAGTTCCATTTTCGTGGGAAAATATAAATTCTTCCATATTTTGCACTTTGAGAATGCTTGAGAAGAAATTTGGAGAAATTTTATAATACATAATGAGTAACTAGTGATATTTATAGCAGTTATTCTATAAATCTACTTTGAGGAGAAAGATAGACATGTTGAATTATATTCGGATCTATCAAAAGCGATAAGAAGATTTTTTATGTTCGTTTAAAATCTTTTTAATTTTTTTTTTTTTTGGTTATATATTTCTTTCTTCATAGTGGATTTATAGAGTAACTAATATATATGTTATTAGTTATTCTTTGTATATTATAAAAATTATCAAAAATTTGTGTTTTGATCTGTTAATGTACTTGTCACAACCAAGTTAAACTTGTGTTTCTTCTATATTTTCGTGTAAATGTATGGAACACACCATTTAACGGCACCAAAGCTGTTATAGGGGCACTAGCTGTGTTTTTCTTTCAGATCTTCACTCTAATTTTTGTTTTCTATAAATCTTTAAATTTGTTGATTTAAGCGCAAAATGAAATTGTAATCTATTTTATTACTATTTCAAATTCAAATCCAAGAAAATTATGAGATTTTATTTTATTGCTCGGTAGTATAGATGGGATGTGAACAATTCTATCCATACCTGGCTCATTATTCATTATGGTAGTCTAATGGGTAGGGGTGGGCTGTGCATCCACTGCGATCCCTAAATCTAACCGTGTTTTTCTTTCAAATCTTTACTCTAATTTTTCTTTTCCGTAAATTTTAAAATGTATTGATTTAAGACTAAATGAATCTGTAATCTATTTTCAAATTCAAATCCACGAAAATTATGAGATTTTTTTGCCATAAATTCACATGTCAAAATATTAAAGATGAGAGTATTCAGATGGGCTTTAGTGTATATAATGAAAGGGCACCAAGTATAAGGATAATTTTTTATTTTTACAATAAAACTAGCGGTGATATTTTTCACCACATGCTCAAAAGCATCTTTTTGATGCATCTATATTTGACCGTCAAAAGTAAATGTAGGATGTGGTGAAAAAATCTATTTTTTATTATAAAAAAATATATGGAATTGCGGTTGAAGGTAAAAATATTGTCAGATTCAATCAAATTACATAATATACGATAAAGGAAAATCTTTACAGTTAAAGCAAAAAAAATTCTCACCGTTTGTTTTTCCATTTTATTTTTATTTCGTATTCAGTCTTGGTCAAAAAAAAAAAAAAAAAAAAAAAAAAAACCTTCAAGCATCCTCTTCTTGCCTTCAATTGAATGTCGTCTACCACACGTTTCGTTTATCCCATTCTCATTGAGCTTGTTTTGGTCATGTTGTATTGTGTTGTTAGATTGAACACGTCAAACAAGTTAACAATGAACTGTTGTATTGTATTGTGAATAAAATCACTTAATTATTTGGTAATATGTTGTTGTATTGTTTGAATTAAAATTACTATAAAAATATAACTTGAATTAAACATCTCGTTAAGAAAATTAAATTGAATTGCTTAAAAAATGAATTCTTCCTTTGAAAAAATATACAAATATCATAAACATCATAAATAAAAGAAGGAAAAAAAATAAGAATAAAAACATTCCATTGTTTTTTTTAAAAAAGTAAATAGAACTGGTAAATGATTTAATAAACATAATAATTATATATAAACGTAATATATACATATATACACACTAGGAAAAAAAATCAAAATATTAAGAATTTGTTTGGCCTATGTTGTGTCTGCTGTGTTGTTAGATTAAACACATAAAACTATTTGATAATGCACTATTATATTGCACTATGAGTAAAATTACTTAATTGTTTGGTAATTTACAGTTGTATTATTTGAATTAAAATTATCATAAAGACGTAACTTAAATTAAAAATTTTGTTTAAAAAATTAAATTGAATTGTTTAAGATGTAAATTATCTATTTGGAAAATAGAAAAATATCATAAACAACATTTGAAAAAAAAAGGATTAAAATATTATATTGTTTTTTTAAAGGAAATATAACTACTAAATAATTTAATAAAAAATTAATAATAATTGTGTATGCATTTATATTATGAAAAGAAAGAAACAAGAATCAAAATATTAAATATTTTTTTTGAAAATAAATAGAACTACTAAATATTTTAATTAAAAAAAGTGATTGTACTTTATATATATATATATGATCATTTTCTATACTTTTTGAAGTTAAAGTTAATATTCATATAAGAATTGCATTCCACCTCGAAAGTTACGCAATTAATTTTTTTAAAAAAACTTAATTGGGTATGTAATTACTTGGAAGATCCTAACAAGAGATGGAATTATATTTGGCAAAAAACAGGAGAGAAAAATTTAAAATACTTACCAAGCGCTTTTAAAACAAAGCAGTAACGCTGAAAAAGCAGTAACGAAACAGGCTCTTACTATTACGACCAAAACCCAATCCTTTTTATTTCTTAAACCCTCTCCTCCTCCAACCCCAAAACTCCCACGCCATTCTTTTGACCCCACCATCACCATGACTCTTCTGCTTCGATCCTTCCCTCTTGTCACTCCCCGCACCACCAGACCCTCCTCTCTTCCTCTCCTCCAAACTCTTCTCAAATATCACTTCCCTAACTCACTTCCGGCAGAACACACAAGAACCATTGTCACTCTTTCTGCTTCTTCTTCTTCTTCCTCTTCCTCTTCTTCCCCTGAAACCATTCTCAAGCCACCACAACAGCAACAACCAAACCACACCCTCCACTGGGTCTCTCGTACCAATTTTTGCGGTCAATTATCCACCAATGATGTTGGCACACGTGTTCGTCTCTGTGGGTGGGTTGCTCTTCATAGAGTCCATGGTGGTCTGACCTTTTTCAATCTCAGAGACCACACTGGCATTGTCCAGGTATCTCTTATTCATCTATTTATGGCATCATGGGAATTTGATTGTTTTTTGTTATGTGAAGTCTGTAGAGAATGAATTTGATTTTGCGGGTTTTTTTAGGTTGCGACCTTGCCTGATGAATTTCCTGATGCGCATGCAATTATAAATGATTTGAGAGTGGAGTATGTGGTTGTTGTTGAAGGTTTTGTTCGGTCTCGACCCAAGGAGTCTATTAATAAGAAAATGATAACTGGTTCTATTGAGGTAATATAACCGGTATCCATTTTCCTTGTTGTTTACTGCTTAGAATGAAAAATTGGTATTTAGTTGCTGGCCCATTTTATTTGTTTTCTTTCAAATGTTGGTTGTGTGTGCCAGGTTGTTGCGGAGCGTGTTCAATTGTTAAATGCAGTGAAAACAAAGTTACCATTTTTAGTTACTACAGCAGATGATGCTAAGGATTCTGTTAAGGAGGAGATTCGTTTGAGGTACATCTCATTCCATTGCGTTTATATTAATTTATATTTCTCGGCGTTTTGTTGATTAAAGGAAGCTAAATGTGTGTTAATAGATATCGATGCCTTGACTTACGTCGGCAGCAAATGAGTTCTAACATTATGTTGAGGCATAGAGTGGTGAAACTCATTAGAAGATATCTAGAGGATGTGCAGGGTTTTGTGGAGGTACATGATATGAATTTTGATGTGCTGTCCTTTAGTTTGTTTGTGTTCTACTTTGTTCATTGGGTTTTAGATATTTATATTTGTATGTCATTTTGATCCTGACCTTTTTCGTGGTTGTAAGGTTAGATTGAAACCCCCATACTTTCTAGATCTACTCCAGAAGGTGCCCGGGATTATTTGGTGCCCTCAAGAATTCAGGTACTTGGGATTTATTAGCTTGCCTCTCAAATTTAATATAATGCTCTTTGGAGTTTGGATAGTAGCGAACAATCTCTGAAGTATACAACAGTTACATCTCAATTTCTGGAGAGATTTACTCAGCTCAATGTCAATTTCAAAATTGTCAACTGCACAATGTATACTGGTTTAAATGTTGGATATGGGATAATCCTGGTGAGGTTTAGGAGTTTTATTGTCAAAATTGTGCACAAATTGAATAACCAAATGAGATGGATTGAGTGATATCATTTACCCCTTAATTCTTACATGTTAGATTTTGATAGTCTTGATTATAATTACGTTGTCGAGAAATATACTTTTCCTTAAATAGGGGTACTTTTAGCTATTTGTTACTCATAATACTTTCTTCAAGGTGTGCATGGCCCTGATTCACTTTAATGTCCTTTTGAAGCCAGGAACTTTCTATGCTTTACCCCAGAGTCCACAACTCTTTAAGCAAATGTTAATGGTATCCGGTTTTGACAAATATTATCAAATTGCAAGGTAATTTGTCTTCCTAGTTGTTTGAGTTTATGATATGATGGTGATGTTAATGCTGTTCAATTATGCTCCTAGTATTCTCCTTTGGCAATAAACTGTTAGTCATGTATAATTTTTTTTTATACGCCGAGCATGCTTTCCCTGGTCTTGAGTTTCATATGACAAAAGAGTCTCTGCTTTCTTCAGCAGAAATCTAAAAGTCATGCGATAAAGATTTTAGTTTTCTTTCTTGGCAGATGCTTTAGAGATGAAGATCTAAGGGCTGATAGACAACCTGAGTTCACCCAGCTAGATATGGAATTGGCATTTACTCCCTTGGAGGATATGCTGAGGCTCAATGAAGATCTAATACGAAAGGTTGGTAAAACTTGCTGCATGGTTCGTATTAGTTTCTGACTGGTGTTGATAGAAGTCAAATAAAAGGTAGATCAGGATGAAGGAAAAACAAGAGCAGTGAGCTAATGATTGTTTTGTCCTTGCTAATTGTACATGATTCTTGAGATATTTTCATGCTGTATTATGAGGTTTTGATGGTTTTTTTTTCATCTGAGAATGTTTGAGTATTTGTTAGTTTCTCTTTAAATTGAAAAACCTTTCAAGTTTTTAGTTTATCAAAGACTGGGTGTTATATATTAGTGGCTTCACATATGGCATTACTTATGGATAATGAGTTTCATTTACCATGGCAAGTGCGGGAGTTTTGTTGAATAGAAGAGAATTCAATTTCTTTAACATCTAATTATAGGATTCATTGAAATCTAAGTTAATTCCTGTGTCTATTCATGTTACACTTATGTCAAAGGTAAGTATTGGATTCAAAGTTATTCAAGATGAGCTAATTGTGGCTGGTCTATGACATGAACAATGCTGCAGCTTGGGCATGGCTTTTGGCCATTTTTCCTTCCTCTTTTTTTGAGTTTGCCAGTGAACAAGTCATTTCACTTCATTGAGAGTTGACTAGACTCTTCAGCTATCCCATCAGTTATCTGTTGAAAGTTGGTGGTTTTATTGGAATCTAAGCTGCTGGGCATGCCCTCAACATTATATACTAGTCAGTGGTAGTTTCATTTTCTGTTTGCTAAAATCTGGCATGTTTGGACATTTATATCTCTCTACATTTCAGGGTTTGACTAAAAAGTTATGTTTCCTTGCAGGTTTTTTGGAGATTATAGGTGTCCAGCTACCAAACCCATTCCCTAGGCTTACATATGCTGAAGCAATGAGTAGATATGGTTCGGACAGGCCAGACACAAGATTTGAAATGCATTTGAAAGATGTAAATTATCTTCTTTCTCTTGTATACTTAGCATTACATCACATTTTATGCGGACTTCAAGTGCTACATGTAAACTATTAAAGAATGTTTTCCTCTGATGCTGCAGGTATCTGATATTTTTGCAGAGTCCTCTTTCAGGGTTTTTGCTGATAGCTTGAAAAGTGGGGGTATTATTAAAGTACTGTGTGTGCATTCGGGTGCTAAAAGTTATTCAAACACTGCTCTGAAGAAAGGTGATATATACAATGAAGCAATCAAATCCGGAGCCAAGGGTTTGCCCTTCCTAAAGGTTTTGGATGATGGTAAAGGAAGATGTTTCCTTTCCGCGCTTAACCTAAAGATGAATGAATGATATTATTACTTCAGCACTTCACTGTGCATATTTCGATTTTTGTAGGGGAGTTTGAGGGGATTTCTGCATTAGCATCGAGTTTGGATTCAACAAATAAAGAGCAGTTGCTAAGTCGCTGCTCTGCAGGACCAGGGGATCTTATCTTGTTTGGAGTTGGTCATCATTCATCAGTTAATAGAACTCTTGATCGACTTAGGCTATTCGTAGCCAATCAGCTGGCCTTGATTGATCTTGTATGTTTTGGACTTGGCTGTTTATGAAATACCCATTACCAGTGGTCTCTTATTCGTTGGCATTTATCTTTTTCTCTGCCTCTGATGTTTTAGTCCAGGCATTCAATTCTGTGGGTGACTGATTTTCCAATGTTTGAGTGGAACGAAACAGAGCAGAGGCTTGAGGTTTGTCTTTCATCAATTTTGTCTCTTGAAACTGTAATTAAATAAGTGTTAATCTATCTTTTCATTGAAAATTTTCAATTAATTCAAAGGCTATCAAAATGCATCATAATTCATAGTAGTGTGTCAACTAAGCAGTGGTCTGGTGTCATTTACGTACATAGATGGATATACCATACCTGGAGTTGATGTTGATGGGTATTATAGCTTGTGTTGTCCTAGTGAACCTAGAGTTACAAAATTCTATTTATATTATATCAATATATTGTTTACCCTGTATGTTAGCCGAGAAATATTTGAACTTGCCGCTTTATCTGGTTAAACTACCCTGTATTTCCAACCTCCCTCCCCAATGCTGTAGCCTAGCTAAGGATGGTATTAGCAGACAAGAGGAATTTCTAGTCTGGTTCTAATCTTTGTAACTTTGTTCGTATTTTTTCCTCCCACTTTCTTGCTGGTTTTTTATCTAAACTTATCGATTCTCATAATAATAATAATAAATAAATAAATAATTCATTGGTTTCTGCTATAAACAGTAGACCATTGAGCTGTTGTGCTTCTGCCTCTTTATGATATTGGATGCTTTCAAACCATAATCTCTATTAGCCATTTTTTTTATAAATAATTTGAATAGATAGGAGCAATGAGAAATAGGTGTTGTTTGGTTACCTGGTACAGTTAGCTCTAAGTTAGATCAAGGAATTTCAGAGAATAAAGATTGGAAGGAATTAAATTGAAGCTCTTATTTTAACTGCACTCGAGTTTTTTTTTGTGTTGGGGTTGTGTGATTGATAACTAGTGTCATCAGGTCATCACCAGTCACATTCTGTATTGTACTATCTTTTTCTTCCATTTCCTTGAAATTGTAGTTTTCTGGCAGGCCTTGCACCACCCGTTCACTGCTCCCAATCCGGAAGACATGGAAGACCTTTCCTCTGCTCGTGCACTTGCTTATGACATGGTCTACAATGGGGTTGAGGTACTTGGCCTTTATCTTTGCATGCGCACAAGCTTGAAGGCTATGCCAGGTTGTAATGAAAAACTTTTTTTCCTTTTCTTTTGTTGCACTGTCAGATTGGTGGAGGAAGTTTGAGAATTTATAAACGTGAGGTCCAACAAAAGGTTTTGGAAATTGTTGGCATCTCCCCCGAACAGGTGAGAAGCACCTTATGTTATATGCACTTCTGATTGTCATGCACTCCATGTTCAATATATTCCCCATAATACACATAATTATCACTGGAGGAGGTTTCTTTACTGTCTTATGTCTAAATTTCTCCAAATCATTTCTTCACTTATGAGTTATTGCTTTTTGATGGGCTGTAAAATTTATGCTGGTGGATTATGCGAAAGGAAGATGAATTCTGAAACATTAGAAATTATCTCCGGAGCATTAAAACCTCGATTTTAAAAAATTTACTTGCTATCTTTCAGGGCAAGGATTTTTCATGTTTGGTTGTGTTTCTCCAAGGCACATAGATAAATTATCCAAAAAATGCAAAACACAAGTAAACAGAGTTTATCATTAGGCCTCTTGGGCATTTGGTAACTTGAACTCCCAACCAGAAACCTGAAATCTCTAGTAAGAATGCTGGGAACTGTTAGGCCATAAGGCCCATTTTTATCATGGCCACAACACTTTATCATCTTTATGCTGAGGACCTTTTACATCCTTTCTTGTAATTGGAATCGCATTTCTTTGTCTACAGGCTGAAGCGAAGTTTGGCTATCTTCTGGAGGCTTTAGACATGGGTGCTCCTCCACATGGTATGGAATGCTGAACCTGCTCTGGGACTGCATTATCATTTTACTACCGAACTATATAATCCGTTGGTTTTGATATATATCTTTTTTCCACAGGGGGAATTGCTTATGGCCTGGATAGATTGGCTATGTTGTTGGCTGGTGCTAATTCCATCAGGGATGTCATAGCTTTCCCAAAGACAACAACTGCTCAGTGTGCCCTTACTAGGTCACCATCAGAGGTGGATCCTCAACAGCTCAGAGATTTATCTTTCCGCACCCAATAGTGGTCTGCCGTTCATTGTGCACGTAAGTTTGGTTTGTTGCCCATTAGATGTAGTGCCAACCACTCGAGGTCATTGAGTTTGTGCCTTCTGCTCTTAGACTAGTTTTTGTTTCGAATTATTTATGTAATCTTGGAACAGAAAACTTGTGCTATTATATATATATATATATGTTGAGCATTCTTATTACTTAACCTTTCCTATATTGTATGAGGCAATATCACCAAGAAGTTTGCAACATCATAATTTGAGTCCTGAGGGTTTTTGTGAAAAAAAAAAAAAATGGTCACAGCAAGTCGTAGCATTTGTTGACTTACCAGCATCATCTAACATAAAGCATCAGATGGGCTTCTTTTATTTTATACTTTTTATTTACTTATTTAATCAATTGAGGTAAAAAATACAGTCTTGTATATTCTGCTCCCAATTAAATTTATCAACCGCATGTCTGATGTCGGACACGGGTGCTTCCCATTACGTCACTCCTGATGTCGCTATCTTGAGTCACTATTAATCTTAACCTTATCTAGGGTCCGATCAACCGCGAGTCTGTAATGATGAGTTTCTTCGCATTCAAAATATGTGTACTGTTCACATACATACACCAATTAGGATCGTAAACTTGTTGGATGTTTTACATTTTCCAAACATTGCCCAGCCTCTCGCATGGAAAACAAGCATATACAAAAGCAAGTCTGATCAGTACTACGACAGCATCCACTGATCAAAGGCAGCTTCGAAGCTGAAGAACGCATGAAACACTATTACAGATGTTATTCAAAGTTTGTGGCATCAATCAAAGATCGACAACTTCCTAAAATCCCCTCGATGTTTTATTTTATTTTTTCAGTTAGTTCGATTAGGATTATTATATTTTGCTTCATAACAAAAAAGGAAAAAGAAAAAAAGATCATTGTATTTATTTTGCTGATATTCAAGGATTGGGTATCATCAAAGTGGGTCTTTTTATCGTAAAGCCATGAAAATGTCTGCTAATTCACTCAACATCCATCCGTTATGGAGGATGTTAGGAGATTTATGCTTGTTTCCCAAGTTGCTCTACATCCCTTGTAAAAAATATATATATATATATATTGTACGGGAGTGCATCTAAATATGTGGGGGATAATTATAATATAACTATATTAACTTTAACTTTTTCTCAATCAAATACATGAGTTTTAATTTTTTTTTATGAGTACATCAATTTTTTTAAAATTATCAATCAAGTAATTCTATCAATTTTTTTTATTAATTGATCTAGTACCTTCAAAATACTAAATTATAATTTTACTCTTTTTCTTAATAGAGTACTTGAACTTTATTTATTATTATTTTTTTGAATACATCAATTTTTTCAAAACTATCAATCAAGTATTTCCATTACTTTCTTCATTAATTGATGATGTATTCGAAGACGAAATTATAATTTTATCCTCTTTTTGTTGAAAGAAACTTTCTTCTCAAATTATTTTACTATTTTATAAATTGACAAATAATTAAAAATTCTATTTTTTATTTCTAAAATTTCAAATTAAATTAAATTAGATTGTTATTAAAAAAAAAACTCAATTTGGTTTAAAAGTGAAAATTGAAGAAAAACACAAATAAATCTTCTCGACGAAAAATCTCACGTTTGTGTTTCTTTTAATTCACGCTCAAAAACCTAACCGATTTTTTTTAACGATAAATCTTACTAAGTTTAGTTCGAGATTTTATAACTAAAAATAATTGTTTTAATTCTTTGTCAAATTTAAAAATAATAGAATAATTTAAGAAGAAAGTTCCTTACAACAAAAGATGAAAAAAAATACATAATTTAGTATTCGGACATGCCATCAATTAATAAATAAATTAACGAAAATATCCGATTGACGAGTTTAAAAAAATCGATATACTTAATCTGAAAAAAAGTTAAAGTTCATGTACTCTATTGAGAAAAAAATGTAAAATTATAATTTAATATGTTGAGAATAATAGACACGTTATCATTTAATGAAAAAATTAATGAAAGTTTTTAATTAATAATTTTAAAAAAATTGATGTACTTAAACAAAAAAAATTAAATTTTATATACTTAATTGAGAAAAGGTTGAAAATTGATATGCTTATATTGTAATTATCCCAAATATGTATGATTAACAAGTTATAAAAACAAATGGAAAGTTCTCTTTAAGGGATGTGACTCTTCAAATATTCGTTTTAATGTAATAAGTCATGTATGTTAACAAAATCGTACTAAATTCCCTAGTTGATGGCACAACAGATACATATCATTGCAGACGAAGAAACGAGAACCGTTTCAAAACATAACATATTGCAAATTTAGATAGGAAGCAATAACTTAATAATCATGAGGTGAGTGGGATCGCAGGGAAAAGGAGAAATTTTATAATATTTAAAGTAATAATTAATATATATATATATATAAAGAGGAGAGAGAAAGAAATAGGAGAAAGAAAATTTTAAATAAAATTAAACGAAGGTGAGATTTTTTTTATTATTTTTAATAAGTCTGGATGTATTTTGTTTTTTAATATGTTTATTTCTTTAATATAAAGTGAGTTTATAAAATAATTATTCTTTATGAGTCTACTGTATAATGATCACTGCTTAATTATTGTAAGATTTCTCTGGACGAGACTACTCAAGAGAGAGAAGAGAGAGCATCCTTTTCCGTCAAATTTAGATAGATACATTCAAAGAATAAAAGTATCTAACTCCAAAAAATTCCCAACCATTTCATGATGTTATGCTAATTAATCGTACAGAGATTCTAGAATCTTTAAAACTAGGAAACAATATTTAGATTTGATCAAGCAAAGCACAATCACCAAGATGGTGCAAGGGAAGCTAGCTCAGATTTTTAACATCGTGACCTGTACATAATAAAAATAAAAAGAAAAAGAAAAAGAAAAAGAGAAGGAAAGGTAAGGAAAACTCATGCCTGCAAACTCCTATAAAACCTTATCCATTTCACATATCTTTCAAGCCAGACAACATCAGAAACCATTTCCTTTGTTTTGAATAATTGTACAGAGCCATGGTGAGAAAGAGTAGAGGTCGCCAAAAGGTGGAGATGGTGAAAATGTCGAAAGAAAGCAATCTCCAAGTGACCTTTTCGAAGCGTCGGTCTGGACTTTTCAAAAAGGCTAGCGAGCTTTGCATTCTCTGTGGTGCCGAGATTGCCATCATCGTCTTTTCACCAGGCAATAAGGTTTTCTCCTTCGGCCACCCTGGTGTTGAGACTCTGGTTAACAGTTTTCTCAACCGAAATCCGCCTCAACACTCCGGTGCCATGCAACTCTTTGAGGCTCACCGCAATGCTACTGTCCGTGAAAATAACATGCAGCTTACTCAGGTAGATATTGATTGCTGATTGTTATATTTTTATTACCTTCTAGTTTTGTAGTTTTGAGTCCTAGCTTGAGCTAGTAATGAGAGATCAGACACAAGATGTATCATTTATTAGGCAAACCGCCAGTTTCTCTTTAGGTAAAATTGTTGAAATTGAAGAACAAAATTTTTTTTCTTCTTCTAGAAAGGTGGAGTAAGGTCTCAAACCGAACATATGACACTACAACAAATAAAATAAGGGAGTCAACCTAATCAATCAATTAAATTCGTCTGGTACACAGGAACGAAGTCCAAAATATAGTTCCCTCGTGAGTTAAAACTTAAAAGAATTACTCCAATTCTTTATCTTTTATGATGACATATTATATCACAAGTGCTTCGAAAATACGTATTGATAAGAAAATATTGTTGTATTATCAGGTGCTAAACCAATTGGAGATGGAGAGAAAGCGTGGAGAAGATCTTAATCAATTAAGAAAGGCTGGCCAGACTCTATGCTGGTGGGAAGCTCCCATCGAGGAACTCACGCTGCCCCAACTTGAGCAGTTGAAGGCGTCTCTAGAGGAGTTAAAAAAGAATGTGACGAAGGTAGCTGATAAACTATTAATACAAAATTCGGTTCCTCCACAATTTCTCGCATCAAGTTCTAGTGGGGGGATTCTCCCGTACGATGGGAAAATTGGTGGGTACAATTCAAATATGATGTTACCACCCCACGAATATAATCAGGGATATGGACGTGGGTTTTTTTATTTAGTATAGATTGAAACTTTGAAGAAGTTAAAAAGATGCCATCCATAGCTTGGTAAGTAGTTTCATTTTGTGTTAAAATGTTGGGATCAGGAGGATGCTAGAACATTTGTTTTATCTGTTACTTGATACGATTGTTTGATTCTGCAGACTATGAACGTATGTACTTCGTATTCATCTCTCTCCAAGTTGGTCTAATTTCCTTGGAGTTATTTACTAATTTACATTCAATAAATCTCTGACTTCTGGAAAAAAAAAAAAAGGTTTACTATATCAGAAGCTTAATGGTTTTATTTTTTATTATGCTCATTAATTCTCTTCCAAAATATTATGACATCAATGTGGTATATAGAATAAATCAATTATTTGAGTTCATTTGTTACCCCACCAATGACATCAATAGAATTTTATTAACTATACCAAAGAAAATAGCTAAACTAAAATTTAATTTTGATTGTGTAAATTAATTCAGAAATAATATTTAACCGTAGGAAAAAAAAAACTTTGTTTGGTTCATTGGATACAGTTGTTTGAGCTAATAAAAATTTCTCACGTCTCTTCATATTCATATTCCATATATGATTGGATTTGATTATTAATTATGTGTATGAAGGAAAAGGGTACTACTGCCTACAAATTTCTAACAATAAATATATACTTACTTATTAAATCCTTATTTAATAAGGAAAATTTGCAATAATAGAAGAGAAGAAGACAAAGACCAGGACGTGTTTCCAGCAAACAACTTTCATTTTAATTAATAAACAGATTCTATAAGATTTTCCTTTTTTAATAAATTTTCTTAAAATAACTTTAAAATTTTTCACAAACAAATATGAACAGAATCTGATAATGCGAGTCCATTGATTTATCCATGCATGTTAATTTTGTTCGTTTTCTCTAATGCTAACGAGAAAGATTGAAAGCTATCTAAGGATTTCTCTACTCTAAGATCTGATGCAAAAAAATTATTTTCACCATATATAAATAAGAGTTCGATTTGATGAGTCTCCCTGAACAAATTTTGTAAGATTTTAACAACTAAGAACAGCTTGTCTAAAAAAGAAGAAAATCTGGATTGGATTTATGGATAATCAGCACGCACTATCAGATTAATAAGTAAATTATCTGTATCTCAACATTGAGGTAATTCAATTATCAAATCTATTACTTCTACGTGCTATTTCAATGTATGCAAGGAGAAAAGGGCATGGTTTGAATTGAACCCTATCCATTTAGAGCAAACGATTGCCTTGTCAATATATATATATTCGTTTGCTTGTTTAATTTTAGTTCATAAAGAAGGACTATAATAGAACCTTTTTTCGTTTTGATGTTGAGGCATTGTTCTAACCTTGTGAAGGGAATGAACCATGTGATATGATATATTTATGTCTGAAATGCCATTTTGTTCCACATTTGATGTATGTGATGATCAACATACCCAATTGCAGTACTGGTTAATAAATAAACCGGATTAGAAGACTATATATACTTAATTTGTTTATAAAACTTAATTAAAATTTTAATTTAATTTATTAATAATAATAATTATTATTATTATTTTATATATAGTTTCAAACTACAAATGGATTGGATCGATGATAAGTTTCATCCAATACAAGACTTTGAGCTATGCAAGAATAGATATGAGTATTCGGGCAGGATCGATATTCATATCTTATTTTTGTGATGCAATACAAAAACTGAATTAGTGAGTTCGAAACATGATTGGTTAAAGAAAAGCACAATTACTACTTTTATAATTTACTAGCAAATTGAAGCAATGTAACTCAAAACGAGTCCACTTTTTCAAATCTAATCTAACCATTCAAACTTAGATGACATGGCATGATTCTAACGACCAAGAGTCATTCTTTTTTCACTATAAATACCAATCTCATAATAATTGTAAGGGGACTCCAACTTGCTCGGTTTATCTCTAACAAAACCTCTAAACTTTTTCTCAATTGCCTATAAAACCTCGTAACTCTCTCAACTACCCGCACCTTACCGGCATTATCTACTCTTCCTCTCATATCTCCGACGACTTGCATCCATTTTATTTCTTATCATGTCTTTCACTACTTATATCTATTCTACTTGCTTGCTTTTCCTTTTACGTCTCTTACTATTTGCATCCGTTCTATTTAGTTGGTTGATCATGGCTTTTTCAAGTTACAACAATAACTCTATACATCTTAACCTAGTTGCTTTCACATATTACAATTCTAACTCTCTATATTCCGATTGGCATGCCGACTAGCAGTTTGATCAATTCTTATGAACCTCCAACATAAAAGCAAAATGTGATATTTATATAGTTGAGAATCAAATTGAGATCATAGCGTGCGCTATATTTTGAGATTTTCCAAAATTACATTATTCAGAGTTGTTCACATTCTCATATTATTTTCTTTTTCCAATAAAAAAATTATTGTCATTGTAAAAGTAAAAAGAAAAAAATAGATTTTGTTTGGAAAGTGAAGATTCGGGTAGAATTTATTTCAATTCTTCAATTTTACCTAAAATCTCATTTTTGGAAAAAAATTATAACCAAATAAATTAAATTCAAAATTTTAAAATTTTGTATGGAAATCTCAAAATGTTAAAATGTAAACTAACAAAGCTAACCTTAGAAAACAAACAACAACTTATCGCTTTGAGGAAATAAATGGCTTCACCTTATCTCCCTTTCTCGCATAACTCTATCTCTCTTTTGTCTCTCCTGTTTTGAGCTCAAAAAATGCAGTCACTCTTCATCAAACGTTGTTGCGTGTATTCTTCGACCTCTTTAAAATCTTGACTATAACTATTATTGTTGATGTTATTCTATCTTTATTGTTTCTTTAATTAGCCTTCTTTACCGATCTTTATCTCTATTTCATCTTTGCTAGATTGACTTAATTTCTCGTTGTTTATATTTATATAGAATTGTATTTATGGAGTTGTTTATTGGATAAGGAGTTGTTATTGATTTATTCTTCATTAAATTTTTATTTCTTCAAGTATCCGTATCTATTTCGATCTATTAGCATGCTTCATTTGCTTCTACATTTAACGATTAAATTTCTATGATTTGTGAGAAGAAGTCTAGTTTTGTTTTAAGTGTTGATGACAAGACTTTATAAAGCTTAGAAAGATCGAACAAATTAAGTTTAATATTTACGTGAAAAGCAATTGCAAATAACATAAAGACTTTATATATATATACATATATAACTAACAATGCTAAAGAATTTAAGGAATTTCTAAAAGAGTGCTCCCACATTATTGATAAGTCACTTGCCAGTATATTAATTAGCACTTGAATTATCATAAAATATAATAGTTCACATACCATGCATGAGCATGTTCTTGAGATGACAACCTTAGCAACAAAATTAAAGACCTTGGAAATGAATATTAATGAATGCTTCTTAGTACAGCTTCTTACTTAACTCTTTGTCTATTAGCAATTTGATTCATTTTAAATTAATTACAACACTATAAAAGACAAGTAGAATGTAAATGAGTTAACTAATATGCTTGTTCAAAAAGAGACAAGGTTGAAGAATAAAAAAGAACTAGTTCTATTCATTTTTTACGTCAACAAAAAGCCAAAAAAAATTACAAAAAAGTTATAAAAAAAAAAAGAAGAAGAAGAAGAAGAAGAAAGGTTTACATAATTTGCACGAGTCTTTGAAAATTTCTCACAAAATAAAAAAAATGAAAAAATTAAATGTCACTTTTGTAATAAAGTTGGGCATTTAAAGAAAGATTGCATGAAACGTAAGGTTTGGTTTGAAAAAAAAGATAAGCATTATGCTTGAGTATTTTACTCGAAGTTCCTCGTAATACTTAGAGGATTGATTTTGGTTTCACTATCCATGTTTCAAATACAATGTAGGGATCCCTTACAATCTAAACCATAAAATCAAATGAAAGTTTTATGTTCATGGGAAATTGAAACAAAGTTCCAATTGAAGACATTAGTACTTATTGTTTAATCTTAGATATTGGATATTATTTAGATTTGTTTTAGATTCTTTTTGTACTAATTTTTTCTACAATCCATATTATTTTTTTACATATACCAAAACTTGTTGTAGCGGAATTTCGATTATTTAGTTTATTTAAGAATAATAATCTTATTGGTTCTAGAATATTATGTGATCATCTCTACAAATTTAGATTTGATAATATATATATGCCCTTGCTTCCTAATATTGGCATTAAACGTAGTTTGGTTTATCAAAATTATACTTATGGCATAAATGTTTGGATTGTGTATTTAAAGAAAGGACGCAAAGATTGTTAAAAAAAAAAAATTCTTCTAAATTTGAATTTTACTAATGTTGAAGTATGTATTGATTGTATTAAAGTAAAGCAAACAAAACACGCTATGAAAAAAACCATAAGAAACACACAACTTTTTGAGATTATATACGCTAATATATATGGACCTTTTGACATCCTGTTTTCTTATGGAGAAAAATATTTTATCATCTTCATTGATGATTTTTTTTTGTATTATGGTTACATTAATCTATTGCATGATAAAAGTTCAATTAATTGATACATTTGAAGTGTATAAAGATGTTAAGATGCAATTCAAGTAAGTGATTATTGTAAGGTCATATAGAGTTAGTGAATACTATAAAAGATTTGACGAATTAAGACAATATCCAGATCCATTGGTCAAATTTCTTAAAAAAACATCACATTTATTCTCAATATACAATGTCAAGTACCACATCAAAATGATATAGTAGAAAAGAAAAGAAAATTGTATTTTTAATGAAAATTATTAGAATTATGATGATTCATTCATCTTTACCCTTATTTTTATAGAAGCATGCATTAAGGATTGTCATATATTTGCTAAATAGAGTTCCCGGTAAGGCAGTTCCAAAGCCTTTTTTTCTAGCTATAGAAAAAAAAAAAAAAAAAACCTTAGTTTGAGACACCTATATGTTTGGGTCTCGCTCCACAAAGGTGAGGGTTTACGATCCATATGAAGAAAAAAATTTAGATTTTAAATCATTTAGTGGTTGCTTCATTGGATATCCGGAAAACTTCGAACAAGTATAGATTATATTGTCCTAACCATGATACAAGAATTATTGAATATAAAAATGTTAAGTTCA